GGGGATAAAACCATATCAACTTGGGCGCAACTAAAAAGAATTTAGGAGCCCATATGATGAATTTAAAGGATAAAGCGAAGTAAACAAGATTGATAGATAGAAACAGAAAGCATGTTAATTCTAATACGTTTAAACAAGAGATATAAAGAATTCTAATACATTTAAACAAGAGATATAAAGATATCACTTGTAGGAGACAAAATAAAAAGACATTCTTTAAAATTTCCTCTCACAATTTGGTGACAGAAATTTCACTGGACACAATCCAAAGTAAGTAATATGGAGTATTTTCCGCCAAGCAAGGTATATATAATTAAGTTATGGAATGTCTATGGTCGCATTGCTTTATATCTCAAAAAACAAAATTTACATCAGACTTCCCAATGATAAAACGGGGTCAGATTCTCAGACGATTCAAACACAGCAAACATTACCTTTCACATCCTGCCTTAAAAGAGCCATGAGAGCTTTATGGACCGCATCACGCTCGACAAATTCCTCTACATCACCATAATCAACGGCCAAAATCATATTTATACACCCAAAAACAAAAGGGCATAAAAAGGACAGCAGCAGTTATGAACTCACAAAACCACAATCCAAAAGAACAATACTTTACCCGCTGCAAGCAATTGCACGAGAATGTCCACAATCTTGGCAATATGTTCCGGCGTGTCCTTGCAGAAAAGGGGAAGCCCCCGAATCGCTTGAACCCGAACCTGTATTGAACAACACGAAATTTGACATAATGACGAGACCCCATATACAATGTCCCAACAAATTCATTTCCTGGTTCTAAAGTTTGATGACTTTTCGCACATTTGTACCAGAAATTACGAAATACGACGTTGAAATCCTACTGTATCGCAAAAAACTAAACATAAGCATGATTAAACAAGAAAAACTGACCCCAAGCTCTTCTTCCTCGATCAAATCAAGATGAGTATCGATGGCGGGACCGGAAAGGTCAGGGAAGAACTTGAAAAACCTAGGGATGAGCTGGGCAGCCAATTGCTTGGCCTTGATGCTCGTCTTGGCCGCATCAATAATCCCCTGGTAGTCCTTCACATTCTGCAATGAGAAATAAAAACACAAAAAAAAAAATAAACAAACCCTAAGTTTTGCGCAATAAAATCAATTGGAAGAAAAAGCCATGGAAGTTGAGGAATTATGAGCAAAAAACCTGGGACTTGTCCTTGGATTCGTTGAGACGCTCGCCGAACTCGTAGAGCTTCTCGATGTGGGCGGCCTCGTCGGAGGGATCGGCCATGGGAGCTTCTTCTTCTTCCTCTGATGCTGAGCGAAAATTGAAGATAACAAAAATGAGAATCTTACACAAATACACATTTTTTTTCTTTTTTATGGAATGGAATTGAATAGTGCGATGTAGAGTTTCCGGGAAAATAGGGATTGTGAAGAGTAAGGCTTCTACTTACTGGGTCTATGTGAGAGAGGAAGCGACTGAGTGAGGAATACACGAGTCTGAGTATGGAGCTTTTAGAGAGAGAAAAAGGATGAGAGAGAGAGAGAGAGAGAGAGAGAGAGGAGAGAGAGAGAGAGAGAGAGAGGAGAGAGAGCTGAACGAGGGTTTTGGTTTTGGTGACGAAACAGAGAAAGAGCAGCGTCTCCCTTCGCTTCCCGTCGAGGTAACCATTATCATCAATTTGATAAGAAAACGACGTCGTTTAATACCGGCAAAAGCCTGCTGTTATTTGACCTTTTTAGGATTAGCAAAAAAATAAGAGACCTTTTTTGAAATGTCGTTTAAGTTACATAATACGCCGTTTTTTTTTTTTAGGGGTATGTATTTTAAGACTTAGGAGACGATTGGTTCATATATTAGAATCATGTGATTAAAATTATTTTTAATTTATGTATATTTTTTATAAGAGAAAATATTGTAGTGAATCACGAATCATGATTCGAATCAGGGAACGAATCTAGGTACTAAACATCCCCTTAAACTCTAGTTTTTGTCATATATTGTTAGTAAAGCACGATTTGTCGTTTGTATTAAAGTTTGCGGTCGTTCAAGTGAAAACACAAGATGTCGTTTCTCCTCTTCTGTTGTTTGATACTAAAACTTGTTTAAATTTTAGCTCATGCTTTCCCTTCTGTGAGTTAGATTAGCTCGTAATTTCACATAGGGCCGGTAATATGGGTCATGACACAACAACATTACTCGAAAATGATACGAATTTCACGGATTAGGGTTGAGAAAAAAGAGGTTCAGATTAGAATTGGGTCGACCTGAAATTACATGAAAAACACAAGTCAATTTCGGGTTAGACCTGCCTAACTCGAATATGATACGAAACTCATCAAAAACTAAAAAATACATATTTTTTTCATTACATATTTTTTTTATTATGAACTTGTAATATCATGATAGTTATACTCAAAATTTTATACTATTATTTACTTAATTTCAATGGATGTTATTATATTTTAGTGTGTTATGAATTTTAAGTTATTTCTAATATGTAAAAAACTAAATAAAAGTATACAATTTTCATGTCAATTTTGAGTTCACGGGTCAATTTCGTGTCACGGGTCATTTCGTGTCGTGCCATGTCAACTCATAAAGTGGTCGTGTCGTGTTTGTATTGCGGTTTTTAAAAAATTTTGTATCACATGTCGTGTTCGAGTTGACTGTAAATTTCAAACAAAAATGATCAAAATAAGATAAAAACACAACACGTAACACAAATTGCCATCCCTAATTTCGCATACTTGCAATTTCAAGGCTCACACTTAAAGACAACCATATTCGCTTACTCCATTGCCTACCAAGAATACTGTCGTTTAAGATTGAAAGCAACACAACATTGTCGTTTAAGTGAAAACAATACGTCGTTTGCTGTTTTACGTTGTAATTTAAGTGAAAACAATACGTCGTTTGCTGTTTTACGTTGTAGTTAAGTAAAACGACTTGTATTTGCAAAAAAAAAAAAAAGAAAAAAAAATTAAAACGACATGTAGCTAGTTGTTCAGACAATCACAATGACCATAAAAGAAATTTTTATCTTTTTCTCAAAAATATTTGTTATCCTTTTATCTAAGTAAGCCAATAGATTTTTCTTTTTCAAGATCAAGATACAAGAAAACGAAAAAAAAAAAAAAAAAGAAATTGCAAAAGTTAAAGCTAACTGAAATACTTGGGTTTCAATAGAAATAACAAATCCAAATACATAAACAAAACAAAAAGATCAATGCATTCTTCAATATCAAATAGCAAATTGACTATAATTCTTATTTGCAGCAAAAAAGAAAATAAATAAATAAAAATCATAGAACGGGCATTTCAAGTGCTCGCAGGACATCCTTGAACTCAAACTCACGAGTTTCCTTGTTGAATCTTTCGACCAACTTGTACCTCGCATCGTTTAAGTAAAAAGATTGAGCTGTCTCAAGAAGCCATTTCGCCTCCGAGTCCGTGAGCTTGCTGGTGAACACCACGTCGCCTCGGATAAGCGCAATGTCCTTGGTTTCTGCAAACTCTTTGTAGTATGCTATGGTGAAGTAGGGAGACGCTTGAGTTCCCCTAGCCTTGTAATCTTCAAGACCAGTGATAAGCATGTGTGGCATCTGCACTGTAACAAAGGTTTGAGTGAAGAGTTTTAGTGAATATAAAAACTATGGTACTCCTCAAACTAAAAGTTTGTTTTGTTTCCACCATCTTGTTTCACTCAATCTTGACATCTTGTGCAGATAAAGTCTCAAGGTTTATATGGTGCAAGTTTAATAGAACTTAACCGGGACCAAGAATTCTTACGGTTTTAGTTTTTTTTGGGGATAGGTGCTGGGGTAGGTGCCGACCTAAATGGGATGTGCCTCCAATTCCTTGATGCTAATCGCCTCTTTTTCTCAGTTTATTAAAAAGAAAAAAGCTTAATAAATTTAAACAGGACAGAAGAAAAAAAAAACCTGATTAGATTTATTGCAAACCAAGCCATTCCATTAGAATTTGGAAGCCATGAATGTGCTTTAGCCTTTGGCTATGTTTGGTAAGAGGGAAAGTAAATAAGGAAAGAAAGGCATATAACCTAGATGAGGAAAATAGAGAGAAAGGAAGGACCTTTTGTGTTTGTTATGGACTTCCTCTGATTAAAATTGGGTTGTTGGAAGGATTTGAAATCCCTCACTCAGTCCAATCCATCCTCTTTTCTCTCCTACCAAACAACCATGAGTCCCAAAATCCTTCCATTAATCCCGTCACTCCTTTGCTTCACTAAACGTCTTGACAAATTAATTACCCCTAATAGTTCTTAAATATAGTATATCTTAAACCATGGCCTAGTGTTTTGTTTATCAACAAGACAATCTAAAAGAACCCTCAAAGCTTATGTATAATCTATAATATCCCAGTATAACGCTTTATATGAATGCTAGAAGCCAGTGATTAAAGACCAACCTTGAACAAACATTGTCGTATAACCACTTCCTCTCCACAAAGGGATGACAAAATACCGGCTGCAGATGAATGGAACTTTAGAAAATAAATTAGGAATTGAGCTATGTAAATAACCCAACGTGATGGACAATAATTACCAATCTGCTGCTCTTTGCTCCAACAGGTGAAAAAGTTTTGCTTTCATGGATGCTCCGATATGGCCTCGTCCCAAGTGATACTGAAAACCTCACAATTGAGTACTTAGTAACAGGTGAGATAAAAGAAATTAATTCATCACCAACAATAACATTCCATGGAGTAAGACTGCCTTCAAACATGCCAACATGGCCGTTTAAGACGCCTATTCAAAAGCAGTCACACAATAAGGTTTTGCATATTGGCCTGTGGAGTGAGAAAGGCCCACAGCTTCCAGCCTTCCACATTCATTTGCCAATAATAGGAAAAGCAGTGTTAATCCTATCACATCGTAAGGAAAATTTGGTTCTTCATAGCTAATATAAATTGGAGAGAAAAGTTCAGAATTTGGCCTCAAGCAGCATTAAGATAAGACTAAATCACTTAAACCGACTCATAAAACCATTATAAGACGAAAAATCAGGGAGTATTATTAGCTAAACTACTAGCAAAAACTGCATTTCTTAGCTCATATTCCATCCAGATTTTACAGGACAAAGAGGTTAATTGTAGCGGCCATAGCTCAAACATGATCTAATGAATCTTGCTGAAGCAGTAACCATTTTGCAAACATAGTAGAAACATTAATATTCTTTTTCTTAATAGGAAACAGAACAAAAAACATCCATGTTAATTCATGATTAGTGAAAGGAGATGAAAGGATAAGCATGAGAAACTTCATGAATTATCTAAACAAGCACCGGGTTAAGCATACAAACTAAAGTCACCTCTTTTACCCAAGTCAGAAATGAAATTGAAAATAAACAAGGAAAGAAAAAAACTAAAATTAACACACTAATTCAAAGGGGAAAAAAATGCCAACCTCTCAGATTTGATCATGAAAATAACTGCATAAACCAAAAATCAAATTGAGAGAAAACTAATGACACAGATAAAAGCAATGAGTGCCCGAACTAAAAGTCTTAAAGTGAAAAGATTTAAGGCATTACGTCATCCCAAATTGAAGCGATGTCCTCAGCCGAACGATCCTTGACTCTCTCAATATCCATGATCGAATCCAACGGCTTAGGCTGCAAGGGCGTGAACCCAGTCGCGAATCTCGACGTTCTAAAGAACCCAAGCGAACCCCATTTCACAAATTCACCGGGAATTGATTTTTCTGCGACATGTTGAAGGTCCTGCCGTGCGGACAAAGTGACGGTAAAAGAGTGTTTAGCGGCGGCAGCTGAAGCATTTGCGAGGAGGCTTGACGCCGATGAGGCTACGATCCTTGAAACTCTTCGCATTGTAGTACGCAAAACAATAAGATGAGGAACGAAAATCTGAGAATAAACGTGAGAATTCACGACTAGTTTGCTTCGACAAAAATAGGTGATTTGAGTTCACTCTCTATTGAAGACTTTTATCGAACAGGTGGTGAGTGCTGGTTTTAAGGAAACATAACTACGTGTACTGAGGAAAACAAAACGCCTGAGAAAAGGCTCAAGAGAAAAAAAAAAAAAAAAAAAAAAAAAAAAAAAAAAAAAAAGAAAAACAAGAAGGTAACAAAAGATCGTCGTCAGTTCATCTTCCTGGGATTAAGATAATGGAGGGAGAGATGTAACTTTAACGTTTGGCTCACGGCTTATGCCCCTCTTTCTACCGCTACCTTACGTACGGACAAATAGAGGTGTGGAGTTAAAAAAGCTTTTTAAATTATTAGATCTCATTTATTTTATTAATTTAAATTTAAATTTTAAATTTTATTACAGTAAAAAATTTTCATAAATAATCACATTTAATTTTTTTATTATAATAAAAAATTCTCACATAAAATCACATCTTAACTCAAATTAAAAATTAAAATAAGCGAACTAAACGGACCCCTTATAAAAAAAATATTTACACAGTTATTATTTAATTTGAATAGTTTTAAAATTTATTATTTACTTAAATTAATTTCATAAATTTATTATTTACTAAAATTTGTTTAAAAAAATTCCTTTTGATGTTTGGCTTATAAACATTGACAATAATAATGATTAAGAATAAATAATAAAAATTAAAGAGTAAGAATGCATACTCATAATACTTTAAGTGCGAGTTTAACAATTTTTTATACATTTTTAATACGTTATAAAACATACGGCTGACCTAGTCCGCAAATAGAACCCGCCAGACTAAGCAAAAATCAGGTAAATGTATTTTTTTTTAACCACTTTTTTTAATAAATAACCGAACTTTTTATTTTTTAAACAAATGGCGATCTTTTTTATTTTAGCAAAATGACCATTTTTTCTAATAGTCAAATTTGGATTGACTGATTTATTATAATAATATACTAAGGATGTATTATTAATAAACATATAATTTATTAATTGAAATTAATTAATTACTAATTTATTTCTATTAATTATTAAATGATATTGATTAATAATGAAAAATTATCAAGTTAATCATTGATTGACCCTAAATCAATCAGTAATAAACTGATCAATTAATAATTAATTACTAAGTTAATCGTGATTGACTACTAAATTAATAGAAAAACAGGCATTTTGTTATAGGAAAAAAAAAAAAAAAAAAAAGAAATCCTTCAAAACGGGCCGGATAACTAATGTCGGGCTCTATTCCGAGGTGGGTCGGGCCGTTCATTTTTCTCGTTTGGGCCACATGGACCGGGCTGGGCCCATGTTTGACAACACTGCAACTGAGAGACAACTACGTGAGACGTTGGCTAGACTAGCGGACTTAGCTGAGCTAAAACACAAGCCATACGACATTTGGTCAGTGGTGGTTTCTTTCTTGTACAGATCCAACACAGCATGCATTTCCAGTACCTTATGCTGGATCCTCAAAATCCTGTTAATTGTCATTTTAGGTTCTCTGAAGTGCCCCATGTTTCATAAAAATCAATTTGAGGAACCTTTTTCTTGGTGGTCTAATAAAATTCTCTAGAACCAATGACTTTTTTTTTTTCCTTTTTTTTTTTTTTTCTGTATCGAAGTTATTTAGAAGGAAAAGCGGTACATATAACTTTTTTCACAAACATTCTAATTTCCGAAAACAGTTACGTGGCTTGCTTATTTCGATGCTGTGAATGCTAGTTGAGCAGAAAGTATATTCGGCGTATGAAAGGAGGTTCTGCTTTGGATAGCTTAACTGAACTGTTTGGAATGATGATAAAGCTGCTGACACTTAGCAGAATCTAGAGACCAGAAGATTAACATCGGACAAGAAAGAAAGTTTCATGAGCTTTGATAATTGACAGCGAGTTTTTACAAAAAAAAAAATATATATATATATATATATATACATATATATTAGTATTTTTTTAGTCCTCAGAATTATATAAAAAATAATCTATTATACATATTTTTTAATTTAATGTAATTTTAATTAGGTATAAGAAAGAAATAGGCCAATAGTTTACATAAGTTAATAAATAGGTTAAATTATTGTTTTCGTCCATAATTTGTCTGGTTATGAACCATAACTTGACAAGTTATTGTCCATAAATCACGATTTTTTATCCATAACTTGCCTGGTTATGAACCATAACTTGACAAGTTTATCAATAATTTATCTAACTATGAACCATAACTTGACAAGTTTTGGCATATTAATTTTTATAACTAAAAATTAACTTATATACTTCTTTAAGCTTTTCATATTGACATATTTTTTACTATTTTCTCAGATATAATAGTTAAAAACTAATTCTAATAGGCCAACTTACTAAAAAAGATCATTGATTGATATCGTCTAAAAAAATTTTAAGTCTTATTTAATTCATTAATTTAAAATTTTAATTTAAATTAAAGAACCTTTAATTATAATAAAAAAATTAGATGAAATTTTTTATAAAAAAATTTAATTATAATAAATTTAAAATTTAAAATTTAAATATAAATATGTAAATAAACGAACCCTCAAGCCTTAATTTGATCTTTGTGTCTTTCACGTGAAAGCCATGTTCGAACTATGACATTTCCGTACGTGGCAATAATTCGTCAAATAGTGGTAACTGAAAATATCTTCAACGAATTAGAAGAGAATTAAAAGCGAGATGTAATTATTATCACATTTGAAGAATCATCACTAAAATTTAATGTGAAATCAATATCATGTATATAATGTTATTTTTTTTGTTTTGTAATTTATTTAAATCGATCTATTTTTATTAAGACAGTTATGATTAAGACGTTAATAATAGATAGATAACTATTATATTATAAATGGGTCGTTTTGCACTTTTCTTGTGTTATTTTCACTTTTCAGTGTCTTTTTCCATGAGTTAGGAAGGAATCTCCTGAAGCCTACAAAAGAAAGAGGTAATGCATTTGAAGTTTAGGACTTCGCTCTGCTCGTGAATTTAAATTTTTAATTTAAATTAAAATGTGATTTTATATGAAAATTTTTTATTGTAATAAAAAAAATTAAAATTATAATAAAATTAAAATTAAAAATTTAAATTAATAAAATAAATGAGGTTTAGATGTCATTTCGCAGCAAAACTTCTAAGATGATGATGTTTTGAATGATAACACTGAAGTCGAGTAACAACAATAACTAGTTTATTTCTTTAAGCCCTACTTTTCTACATTGCTGACTCTTTCAACTTTATGTTATGCGTAGATATAAAAGGGAAAGCCAGAGAGAGAGAGAGAAGTAGAGTCAGAGAAAGTTGTGCCTTGGGGATTGAGGAAGCTGCTATCGTCTTGTTCAATAAGTACACAGCTTCTCTATTTTTTACTCCTTTCTAGGCTCTACCTGAATACCATGATGGGCGATCTCAGACACCCACTGCCACTTTGCTCCCCATTTTAACCTGCCCAGTCTGAGAGTACATGTAATCGATTTTACACTCGAGATCTAAAAGTTTTTCTTCTTCTTCTTTTTTTTTTCCTTTTTTTTTTTTTTTTTTTTTTTGGGTATTCTTTGGTAGGGCATCCTTGTAAATAGAGGTGGCAATTTGTATTAATGGGTCATATTCATATCAACTCGTTTATTAATCGTATTAAAAAAAATCAAAATAAGACATGTTTATTAAACGTGTTAAAAATGACAACTTAAAAATGACTCATTTATTAATCACATTAATCGTGTCAACTCGTATAATTCGTTTAAATTAATATATTGAATAAATAACTAATATAATAATAACTTATTTAACACAGTCAAAACATGTTTAACATACTTATTGATAAATTTATCTTTTTCTTTAAAAAAAATAAATGAATTTTACCTATAAATATTAAAATTCACATTATTTGTATTTAATATGTCACATAAACTTTCATGTTATGTCACATATCATTAGATTGCATATGACACATATAGTTAATCGTGTCAATTCGTGTTACTTCATGTTAGGAGGTCAACCATAACGCAACCAATTTATTAATCGTATTAATTGTGTCGACCTGATTATGACACAAACTCATTTATAATAAACTTAAACCCGTTAACTTTGTGCGAGTTTCGAGTCGTGTCGTTCTGTCACTATCCGGAATACCAACCCTACTTATGAAGCCATTAATCATGAGCGACCTTAAGATTTAAATCAAACGGTTCGTATTACGTGAGACTGGATATTATGAAAAGATTCTTTATCGATATGGTAACACATGCTTCATAAACACCATCTAATTTAAATGGTATGATTGAGGTCAATACTGTTATTGTAGGGTGCTCACAAGGTAAAATTCTCGTTTCTTTTTTCTTTTTTTCGTTTGATTGAAAGTTTAAACAAACATAAAGTAGACATAGCCTAGGTGAATGTTTAATAGGAATAAAAGTGTCAATCATGTCATTCACGAGACTATGGTCTTAAAATTGTCTATTATTGACATTTATTTCATATGGAACATATATATAACACTATTAGACTGCTTAGATGCTATATTGGTACTTATTATTTCATGATCTGTTTTAATCCTTCAAAAGAAAAGAAAAAAAAATATTGCTTAAGCTAGCTAACAGCTATATTAACAAATCAATTTTGTCTATTAGCAAAAAATTGGAGACCAGTTTTTCTTATTTTCCCACAGTAAAAGAAGAGAATTCTTTACGTCATACTCATACCAAGTGATAAATGTGTGCATAAAGCTCTCTTTTTTTTTTCTTTTTTTTTCTTTTTTTTTTGTTCTGAGAGAAGCTCGTGTATTTATGTATAATTTCTCCTCGATACAAAAGATCTCAACTTCATAAACTCCTAGGAAAAAACCCTGTAAAATCTCTGAAAAGTAGCAAGGGTGAAAGAATCTTTCCATTTCCAAGCCCAAGAAATCATGTTTAATTATGTACATGGATGCACTAGCCCCACTAGAAAAACCAGGCTTTGAAAATCTGCCCAACAAAAGGGGAAAACAGACAAAAAATTTCTCTTAGATCTCGTTCATTTCACCGATTTATTTTTATTAGAAAACGGACAAAAAATTTCTCTTAGGTCTCGTTCATTTCACCGATTTAAGTTTTCAGTTTTAGGTTTCTACAATAAAAAACTCTCAAAAAATGTCACATCAGACTTTTTTGCTACAGTGAAAAACTCTCAAAAAATGTCATATCTCAACTCGAATTGAAAACTTAAATTCGCGAAGTGAACGAGGCTTTAATTTAGCCTTGACTTCTCCAAAAATTAATCAATCAATATTTTTTTTTTGAATCTACAATCACTTTATTTATGTGTTTAGTATTTAAGCGTCCGTTTAAAAGATATACTTAAATTATAATTTAAATTTATTGGTGAAAATTTTATAAGAAAAAAAAGTTTAAAATTTAAACTCATTATGAAATAAAAAACATTATAACAGAATTAGAATTTGAGTTTAAATATAACTTTTAAACAACCTTTAAATCTGAATCACTGTTAATCAAACCTTTCCACTTTAATTATGATTGCTTTCTTTTCTTCTCTTTTTCAGGTCCCATAAATCTTAGGCCGTAACAACTATAGCTATAGGGAATGAAAAGAGTGAAAAGATGGTCCACAAAACTTTTAATATACTCACAACAAAAGGCTTGTCCTCACTTAAGACAGAAAACAGACCTGAAAAGGGGCAAGTGAAAAAAGCTATTTCTCTTAGACAGTAGTAAATGAATGAAAGCAAATGGGGCCTCAGGCAAAAGAAAGAGAGGATTAATTTTATAAAATCTCCCCTCATTTGCACATGCTCTGCATTTAAGTACTTAGTAGGCCATTGGGTGGTTTAGTGGGGCTCCTCTACCCACCGTCACCACGTCAGCTTCTTTTATATATTCTACAGATGCTCTTGAGATTGTTTTTTTTTTTTTTTTTTTTTTTTATGTTTTTTTTTGCGCTAAAGATGATCTTGAGAGTTATATGCTGGCCTGCTTGTTTTTGCCCCTAATCTCTTTGTAAATTTTCCAATTGCCACTAGACACAAAGACAATTTTATTAAAGTACAAAAATTACCAATTTTTCACCACTAAAAATTAAAAAAATTGTCATGTAAAACATTAATGATACATAACATTGCCCAAATGGCTATTATTTGGCAAAGTTGTTGTTTTAAGGAGACATGGTTATTTATTAAAATGGCTGATTAATATGTTGAGTTGGCCCCATTATGTGTTCAATCAACAATGATTGGTGGACTGGATAATTAATTATTATAACTTCATAAACCCGTGAATGCTTGTCAACAAACAATATGATGTTTAAAGCATCTAGAACCCAAGTTTCTATTCAATTAATAAAAAAAATTTCCTTTGACACAAATACCCATAACCATTTACATAAACAAAACTTTTAAAAGCTCTTCAACAAGCAATGCAAAACCACCAAATGTTATGTAATTTTGAGTACATCAAAGGGGTCTTTCATTGAAATACTATTTCTTAAATTGACCCTTCTGGTTTTTCCCATCCCGCAAGGCTTCACGGGTCTTGATTCTCTGCCCTTTTTTCCTCTCTACGTGGCAATATATTCAGAGCTTCAAGTATAAATATTATAATTTTACTATTATTTTATTTTATATTCTCCTCCACTATAACTCCTTTGTCCAAACCTCTTACTCTGTCCAATAATCCAAACCATGTCTGTCCCATATAGTTTCTCCTCTTCTTCATCCTTCGTAGCCTTGTCCATTTACTCTCTTCTAATAATACTAGATAAAGCTGCATTTTGCTTAGCCAAACCAATCAAAACCGCTCGTCCAAACCGCCAATTCTCCGTTGATTACTACGCAAAGTCATGCCCTCAACTTGAGCAACTAGTCGCCTCTGTCACTGCCCAACAGTTCCAAGAAGCCCCCGTTTCTGGTCCAGCAACCATTCGCCTTTTCTTCCATGACTGCTTTGTAGAGGTTCTATATTTAACTACCAACTAACTAATATGCCACATTGCCCATTTACACTTTTCTCCCAAGAATGCTAAAAAAAAGTTTTTTTTTTGTTTTTTTGTTTTTTTTTTTGTTTTTGCATGGGGGTGAATGAAGGGCTGTGATGCATCCATATTGATAAAATCAAAGCCAGGGAGCAAAATGCTGGCAGAGAGAGATGCAGAGGATAACAAGGACTTGAGAGAGGAAGGATTTGAGACAATAAGGAAGGCCAAGGCTTTAGTGGAGAGCAAGTGCCCCGGTGTTGTCTCTTGTGCTGACATTCTTGCAATTGCAGCCAGAGATTATGTCCACTTGGTAACAAAAGTTCCTCAATTTTACACTCACACTTTCATCATCATCATCATCATCATTATTACTATTTTTGCCTTCAAACCCCTCTATTATTAGTTGAATTCATCATTTCTTCTCTCATGTGGTTTACATTCCATTTTTCATACCTTTCATTTGGTGGGGACTGGGCTGGGGTGGTTCCCACAAAGTTTTGGGTTTGAGCATGGCAAAATATATGGACAAAACTCATGACTCTGGGAGGGATTCATATGCCATGTGGAAAAGTACTACTTTTCTAAAATCATCCGGATACACCATCCTCCGTTCTCTTTAGTAAGGTCTTGGGTTCGAGCCAGTGTCTCCGTCATTGATGTATGCATAATTCACTTTGTCAGAAATTCCAATTTCACGTGTAAATGCACTACGTACCTTCACCCTCTATCCCTATAACCCTGACAAGTGAGAGAGAGAGATGGAGAGAACTTAAACATGGGTTTGTGCGTGTGTAATTGGATTGGAATTAGGATCAGAATGATAAAATTGATCTCTGCAGTGCAATGCCTGCTCTTGTTTTTATTAGTGGGAATCACTTAGCCAAGGTCCCCCAAAACATGTGTCCTTGATTAAAAGAATGAACCCTTTTTTTGGGAATTTTTTTTTTTTTTCTGTAATTGGAAAGTGATTATGAAGCCAATTGTGGGAGAAATTACTATTGTGTTTGCCAAAGTGGGGTTAGGAGTTAGGAGCGAATAGAATTTCAGCTGTTAATTAGTTACAGTGCTTTCAGGAAAAGTTGTTATCAGAGAGACAGGCTTTATACTGATAAGGAGTTAAAACAATGGACCTCAAAAGGTCTCCCATATTGCAAAAGATTTGGTCGAATTCTCGTCTGTCCTTATAATAAATGTTATTAATGTGTGAATAAAAAAGGACAAAACAAAAATTTTCTATACCGTTCAATTTTTTTTTTTTCAATCTGTAATATTTATGATGCTAAAGATGCTTCCAAAGTAGCAAGATTGGGAAGTCTTGTCTAATGTCTAGTCCCATCTTATACAATTCAAGTTAGCTAAACATCGTTTTCGAAGAGGACAAAAACATAGTTTGTCTTCAACTTGGTTATAATCTCTGACCATGACAATAATTATTCAATCTTCGTTTTGTCCAAAAATTAGCGAATAATCACATATAGAAGTCAGTAATAGTTGGAATTGCCATTTTTATAGCTACAGTATTTTGTTGGAGAAAATTACGCAGTATGTCGTCGAAATTTAACAAACTTTACATCCTAGTCTTCTGTTATCAGAGATGTCCGATCAATTCTGATGAATTAAGTGGTATTTGTGTTAAACTTATTGTCATTGAGTGGCATAAATGTAGAGATGACATCTTTTGACAACATTTTTGTATTTCTCTCCTATTGTTATTACATTAGTGTTGTTTTAACAAATGATTCTTAATTTAGGCAGGGGGTCCATACTATAAAGTGAAGAAGGGAAGGTGGGATGGGAAAGTATCAATGGCATCAAGAGTGAGCTCTAATATCCCACAAGCAAATTTCACAGTTGATCAACAACTCAAACTCTTCAATTCAAAGGGGCTTTCACTTGAAGACCTTGTTGTGCTCTCTGGTGCACATACGTTGGGCTTTGCCCATTGCCAACACTTTGTTAGCAGGCTCTATGATTTCCGGGGCTCCAAGCAGCCCGACCCGGCAATCGACCCGAAACTACTAAGGGCACTTAGAATGTACTGCCCCCATTATGGTGGAAATATAGATATAGTTGCGCCATTTGATGTCACCACCCCATTTTCCTTTGATCATGCCTATTACGGGAACTTGGAGAGCAAATTGGGCTTGTTAGCCTCGGACCAAGCCCTATTTTTGGACCCTCGTACTAAGCCCTTAGTTCAGAGTTTGGCAAAGGATAAGCAAAAATTCTTCCAAGCTTTTGCATTAGCCATGGAGAAAATGGGGTCAACAGGTGTAAAAAGGGGAAGGAAACATGGAGAGAAAAGGAAAGATTGTAGCATGCATATATGATTAATTACTTCTTTTCTCATTATTGTATTCTTTTCTTGTATCCATTTGATTGGCTTGGAGTCCTTTGATTTCAAGTTTGTTTTCTGTTTTCATATGAGGCATTAATGTGAATGTTTAGAGAGTTAAACCTTTAAAATAGCTTTGCTTGGCTAGTTGGCTGGATCATATTTTTTATATATTTGCAATTATTTCAAAACAATCTAATTATTTTCAATCAATAATTAAAGAAGATATTTCATCTTTAATTATAACAAGGGGAGATTCTGTGGTATTATGATACTAATGAAAAAGTGATAGAGCATGATTTGAACCGTTTAATATTTCAGGAGACTTTTTTGTTGTTTACGGTTTAGGATTTAGGTATATTCACACACTTATATAATGTACGTCATTATTAAAACAGAATATTGTAAATTCAATATCTCAGACTCTCAATACGAAATATATTTTTTGTACCATAGTATTTTTAATCTCACTTTGTATTTTGCTAATTTTTTTTTAACAAAAAAGACAATTTATGCCTGGATTTTTTTTTTCTTTTGTAATTTTCTCTTTGAACTTCTCATTTCATTTTTTTAAACGAAAAAGATACTTTATTTCTTTAAACGAGTTTACATAATCTGAACAAAGTCGTTTTTGTTCAAATATTAACGATAGTCATCGATTTGAGGAATTGTATAATTCTTTGTTTTTTTTTTTTGAAGTAAAGTCTCATTTCACAAGAACAAATTACTGATACATAACTAATTGCAAATGACCACTCATTACAAGAAAATTCGACCCTGACTATTGACTGGATCTATTAATAAAGAAGAATGAAACATAACAGATGAACACAAGTACTGAGACTTAATGGGGAAAAGCGTGCTTGGCACATGAAAATCGAGCACGACAAAACTCGTTTGAAAGAAACACTACAGTCGATGATTAAACCAGTTGACTGAGACCAAACCTAAAATAATGGGGGCATAAACAATACAACTTAGATACACATCTAGTCAGACATGTCCATCAACACTGTCAGTAAACAACTCAAACGAGTGAGACAAAACAACAAACTCAGAAGGTAGGGAAACCACCACATCCATTATTGGAAGTAACATAAGACTCATCGATGAAAATAATGTCGTTGTTACACACATACTAGATCTATAAAACAAAAAGAAGTAACTTTGGACACCGCCGTTGAACGCCTCAGGCAAAGGGGAGCAAGCGAAGGAATCGTTAAAAAAAGTAACCAGTTTCAAGAGACCCATAATTAAGAAGACCACAACCATGGGGAGAAAACCCTAAGAGATCTCAACCACCCAACTGTGAATGCCGGAAGGTGCAGCCCAAGCGTGAGGCTTTCAAGCTCCCTTCAATTTTCTATCCACCCAAACAGAAATGCCTCACATCTCACCACCACCACCACCATCGAAAAATGCATGAGGGGATGAGATGGAGGGCCAAACTCAAGCCTAGGAGCCTGGCGATGCGCTCAAAGGCGACGCCAGAGCTCCGGCCAATAATTGCACACCAAAGACGTTTAAGAGATAGAAAGAGGGGAAATGCATAATATTATTATGAAAAAATTCCTGGGGAAATGCATAATATTATTATGGAAAAATTCCTTGTATAATTCTTTATTAAAGTCAAGAGGTAATGGATCAGAATTAAAAGTATACAGACAACTTACTAAATTGTAAGTAGTTTAAGAGACAAAAATATTTTGGCCCCATTCATTTCATCGATTCGAATTTTGGTACAGTAAAAAATTATCAGAAACAGTCATATATAACTTTTTTATTACAGTAAAAAGTTATAATATAAAATCACATCTCAATTCGAATTAAAAACTCGAATCAGTGAGTTAAACGGACTTAAGAAAGCCCGTTCACTTCTTTGATTCGAATTTGTAATTTGAGTTGAAATGTGATTTTATGTGAGAGCTTTTTACTGTAGTAAAAAAATTAAATGTGGCTGTTTTTAAAAAAATTTTACTATAATAAAAATTAAATTCTAAACTCAAATCGTTAAAGTGAACGAGACCTTAAATAACTTCAAGAGTAATGACCACGGAATCTAAAGGTATGAGATAGGCTGACATGAGATCTGAATTCGAGAGGACACATGCTCGATTCCGTATGGTATACAAAAAGAAATAACCAAAATACTTATTTTGAGTTTGGGGAAAGAAACAAATACACTTTTCGCGTTTCTCTTATTTTGAGTTACTATTTCGGTCATTTTACTTATTCTTTTTTTCGTTGTCATTATATTTCCGTGATCTGTCGTTCTTCATTCTCATCAATCTTTATTTACATTTTATTGTCGTTCGTTTTGTGATTGTCGTTTCTCATTTTGTTGTCGTTTGCCATTTCGCTTTTACATAATCGTCGTTCCCATTATTGTCTTCATCTGCACGTTGTTGTCGTTCCATATTGTTCTTTTCACTTTGTTGTGGTTTTTTTGGCTTTGTTGTCGCCTATTTTCTTTCATTTTTATTGTCGTCTATCATATATATTGTCGTTTTTCAGGTCGTTTGTCGTCCGCTTCATTGTCGTCTACACATATCTCTTCGTCGTTTTACATGTGTATGGTAGCCTACTAGGTTGTTGGCTTGTGGCTCCTCACCAATTCCCAATTCCCAATTCCCAATTCCCATGATGGTGTTATGGAACTTGGGAAGTTCCAAACTGCCAAACACAGGGTTTTTCTATATCTGTATATCTATATATTATAAAGAAAGAGAAACATGTACGCATTGTCCATACTCCAATCTTTGACGACAATAGGAAACAGGCGAACCCAATCCCAACCAATCAGAGCAATGCGAGCCGTCGTCCAGCGAGTCGCCTCCGCCAGCGTCGAGGTTAGTCACTCGCTCAACTCACTCACTCACTCAACTCGCTCTCTCAATTAGCCACCATTCGTTCATATTCATTTCTTCTCAGGTCGAAGGTCGCACGGTTTCCGAGATTGGGCCGGGCCTGCTCGTCCTAGTCGGTATTCACGACTCCGATTCCGACTCCGACGCAGAATTCATGTACTTCCTTTTCTCCTCACTGTGAACTCCTCTCTGTTTTTTCAGTTTTCAAAAAAAAATTGTTTTTCAAATTTAAGGTAAAAAAGGGAATTCGGAAAAAAAAATGTTTTTTCTTTTGGGCAGATGTCGGAAGGTGTTGAACATGAGATTGTTCCCAAATGAGGCTACTGGCAGAGGTTGGGACCAAAATGTAATTTTTCTTATTTTAATTTTCTCGTCTCTTTTCAACTACCATATTTAACTGTATTAACCGCTGTTATGGTGCTGTGCTTTTCTTTTCCTTCACATCACAGCCATTTTTTTTTTGTGGGTGTTTTCTCTATAATTTATTCGTGCAAAGCACACTGACAGAACAATGGTAATTTTGGTTTGACCATTTTTTGGGGTCCTTATTTGGGTCAAACAATTGATTTTGTTCATCTCTGCAGGTAATGCAGAGGAATTATGAAGTTCTACTAGGTAAAAAAAAAAAAAAAGCACTTGCTTACCTTTTTTTTTCTTTTTTCTTTTTTTTTTTTTCTTGGGTTGTTTTCTCTTTTGTTGTCTCAGCTTCTAGTTGTATTACTGTAAAGAAAAAAGGAATTTGTTGTGGCAGTGAGTCAGTTCACATTGTATGGATTCTTGAAGGGTAACAAACCGGATTTTCATGTTGCGATGCCACCCCAGAAAGCAGAGCCCTTCTATGCTTCTTTAGTTGATAGGTTCAAGAATTCTTACAACCCCGACAAAATAAAGGGTACATTTCTCTTCTTTTACTGTCCTTATATCTTATGCTTTCTTCATGCTGATCGTTAAGTATATCGCTGAACATCAAAAATACTAGCGTCACACTCTGTCACTTTGTGTATTCACTGTTTGACAATGCAGAAAGTGACAAATAGAGTGATAGAAAGAGCGATACTAACATTTTTCGTAGACAAAATTACTTCATTTGACCGGTGACTACCTTATCTGCTATATTATTTTCTGCATAAAACCAGTTCTTGCTTATAGTTTTAAGAATGAGAGGTTCTAATTTCTATAAAGAAGTCTTCAATGGACTAGATTTTCTCACAACTCTTTCTCGTAGACTTAATTACTTTTCTTGTTATGGGTTGTTCAGATGGCGTCTTTGGAGCAATGATGAAGGTAATCTTATATTGTACCTATTTTTCTTTTCCCCTCTACATTTTTTTTACAACGTTTTCAATATTTTATACATGTTTTTTTTAAAGACTCTGAGACTTGGATATCCTGGTGCTCTAAAGGTCAATTTGGTTAATGATGGACCAGTCACGATGCAGCTCGACTCGCAGTCCCCCAAATGAGCACAAACTGCCTCAATGAGCACCGAAGCTACTCGATAATGAATTATCAGTGCACTAATCTCTACTTGAGTTATGTTGGTTTCAGTAACTTAAGGTTGGTTAACCTTCTAAGGAATACAGTCCAAGCTGCAGAAGAATTATTGGTTGGTCCGCATAAACTTAACAACATATGAAAACTTATTTCCTTGAATCAGATTTTGAAAAAGGCTTGTCCAATGTAATACTTGATTTTTCTGATTAAAGCAAGCTTTTTATTCTTTTTTTTAATCCCCTGATTGAAAGTTTAGTCAATTTTAGCTAACACTCGTGTGTGAGAGTGTGGTTTTTATTTTCTTCTTCTCTGTCAGGGAAAACAAAAAGAATAAAGAGACTTGTTTCCAGTATTTCATAAGTGTGTGCTATTACACGTCTACATTATCTTAGATATTTAGAACGTAATACAACCATGTAGGAATGAAGCTTATAAAAAATTCTACCTCAATTGTAGTTATAATACTGACCAACATGTTCAAGGCAAGCAAAATATCATAGGCAGGGTAAAAGCGTAAAGGACCAAACACGTATAAATGGGACATTGTAAGAACCAAGATGTTCATGAACAAAAACCAAAATAAGAGAAACCAAAACATGTAAAATTCAGCAACATAAAAGGCGCGATTTGCCCTGCAACTTATGTCGGATCAGACCAAACACTATGCACCTGAATAACTGTCGAGTATATAACCTGTAACATTTCAGTAATGGGCAAGTAGTCAAGGGCTTAAGCTACTAGGCTCCTATTTGCTACCTTAGAAGTTATATATACACTAACTTACTGTTGACTGTAACACTTTATATATCAAGATTAGTAAAGAACTCAAGCTGTAACAGTTTCCAAGTTCCTATGATTTCACTGAGATTATGGTGGCCGCTGTAAATAGCACTTCTTTCCCAAATGCCGAAATCTCCATGTTCCTACACCATGACATGTGATAAATTATAGGAGAAACTAATAATATCAAAATTCTAACGTAGATATTAGCTTTTTGTTTATAACAATGATGTAAAACGAAACAGAAATCTAGTTGGTTTAGTTCATTATTGCACCCGTTTTCTTTACATATAACAAAAGTTACATATTATTAATCATTCTCAAAAAAAATTGACTGTAACAATTCGGATGAAAGCAGAATAACAACAACAATAATAATCTAAAATATGGGATTCCACTTATTGACACGAGTTGCTATCATCTAAGAATAATCCTTCCTATTGATTTAAAAGGGGGTATGCCTTTTATTAGGCATGAAATTTTTTTCTCATGTCCAGAATTTATCATCATTTTATCACTATCCCATATACCAGATGATTAGGACGTAAAACACTACCAGTGATAAGAAACGAATAACAACAAGTTAATTAAAGTGTATATGATCTTACTTATCTGTTTCTCTCAGAGTTTTAAAAGAAGAAATTATATCCTTGCATATTTCAATAAGGGAGCAGCTTTTCGTTTCTTCACTCGGAGAAGAGACGACTTCATCAGAATGTTTGGATGGTAGTGACAAATAAGCCTGAAATTGACGTGTTATTAAGCACATAAGAGAAGAGGAATAAAACTGTTTACTGACTGCATAAAAAAAAAAAAAAATCAGTTAAGTACCTTAAGAGGTGAAAATGGTATCAACATTCTCCCAGAGTTAGATTAAGTACCAATTAGAATTTGTTTAGATTCTAAAAAAACACTTTTTAGAGTAGCCTGTGAAAACCAACATTTCACTTCTCTTCTCAAACTTGTTTTGTATAACTTTACCAAACAGGTTTGTTACTAAAAGATCTTGTAAAAGTGATTCTAGGAGCTCTAGAATCAAATACCAAATAGGCCCTAAGTTTAAGAACTTTAAACCTTCAAGGCATTAAGGCGGCTCATAGGTTATAGAGTAGGGCAAAAAGCATTTGCTTAATATCACACGTGAAGCCCTATGCATGCAATATCAATCACCTGAAAGCCATGAACTAAAAGCAACTGGATTTCTTTGGCCCCAATGTTTTTAGTAGTACTTCTTGCGATGGTAATATTTGAAAAGAACTTCAATGCTCCACCAAATGTCGTATCATCTGCAGAAACATTTGTCCTCCGAGTGCGAACAGAAGGCTGCAATTTTAGGTAAGACAATGTAAATGATGTATGATGAATAAGACACAAGTGTGCTTTACCATCTTTATCAAAAGGGAAAAAAACAACATAAACAGAAAACACCACCACAGAGAAAAAGGTTCTTGGAGAATATGTTAGGTACCTGGTTCTAACTCAGCCAAACAGCCCAGATACTCTCACACAAACCCGAAATTAACAAATAAATTGGATGAAATCAGAGGAAAACTCTATTAAGCAACTTTAACACTAAATCACAATCAGCAAGGAAAATCAAAGGAAAGCAATAAAGATAGTATGGAGTATTCGAGGACTCCGAAGAACTCCCAATTCTAAATCCTTAAGCCAAACAGAGAACGATCCAATACTCAGCAAAATGAAAACACTACTCTCCACCTCCTTTTAACCCCTCCTCTGATCCTAGCCAAAACCAAAGACTAAACAGCACTAGGTTTTGAAAATTGCATCCAACCCCCCAATTCTATTCTTTCTTCCCAATTTTCCCCTCCTTTCATAAACTTGCCAAGGGTTGATCCCTTACAGAATATGTGTTACTAAGTTTATTGGCTAGCTAAGAACACTTTGATCTCTTACAATACTCAGAAAACCGACTTACCTTGGAAATATATTTCCAAAGATATTGCACAACTACTTCAAGCTTCCATTCAGGTTCAGCGTAGGCCTGAAAACAATCCTCGCAATGCCCAGAATAATTATTTAAACTGTTTCATCAGTTCTTACTTATAATGGGAATAAATAAGAACTAGAATTAATGAAATATGAAACCCAAAGGGCTTGGAACAAACTATGCCCATTTCAAAGTTTCTGAAATCTTTAACTGTTTCAAAACCATAAGTATAATGCCGTAGAACCATCAGATTGACAAGCAATGGCAACAGTAAACCAACAACATCAGAACTAAGAAGAGAATAAGTTCTTTTTATTTATGATCAGAAGACTGCCTTGACACCTGCGGTACATATGGTACATGCAAAAAGCATCAAGCATGTTAAAAGAGGTTCCCGGGAAAAAGATAATAAAAAAAAGGAGACTACCTGAAGAAAAGAGTGAAGAATATCCCTATTATAAGTTAGCTCATCTAGAATTAGCTCCACAATAGGTGTTCTGCAGCAAAACCCAGGTGGCCTCTTTTATAACAGAGAATAAAAGAGCTATAAAATTAATCTGTAAAGAAAACAAGCATGCACCTGACACCATCCGCTCTCCTAGTACAACCATTCATCTCTGCTTTCTTCTTAGACGTATCAAGCTCCATAATCTGAATATTCCACAAATCAGTGCCTATGAAGAAACTGGTTCAAAAATACCAATTAAGGCACCGAGGAACTAACCACAGTGAAAAATTTCTGCATGGCAATGCAGGTATTCTTTGCCACCTCAAGTAAAGCAATTGCCACGGAAGTGTTGCTATCATTATCTGATACCCCAACTGAATTCTCTAGATGCATCAAATCATCACTAAATGTGGCACAATTCTCATAGAGCTTACACATAATAGCCAAGCAATCCTTCACTAAACTTCTGTAGTTTATTTTTCTCGAACCCTACAAAAGAAGTTTATCTTTGAAGCATAAGAAGAGTCGGCCGCAACACGTTACATTCTAACAATCACCCCAACAGGGGAAGACAAAGGCCTTAGAAAAATGCTATTTATGGCTTCAAAAATGAGAACATACCAAAAGCATGTTGAGTAATGACTCCCTCAAAAGGTTCCAGTTCATGGTTCCTGAAGGAATAATGATTTAAGTATCTAGTCTCGAAGTGAAATTGCAAAAACACTAGATATGATCAGTTAAGTTAACCTTCATTTGCATTGTTGCGAGGTCCAAAATCACTTTCAAGAACACTGACGAGATATTGAAATAGCAACATGTTTTGCAGCGACTGCAACAAAATTCAGACAATAACACCACCAACAAAGAATTCGAGAATTAACGTAAAATATCTCAATTGAACATTCAATCATGACAACATATAAAAAACAGGTGTTTTAGCCTGCAATGCCCTAATCCGCACATATACGTAAACAAGAGAAGAGATTACTGATATACATATCGAATAAAAGTATGAAACTAAGATTTAAGACGTGATAATTTTAGTAAACGAATTTGATTACATATCTCACATCAATTGCAAAACTACTTGTTACACCATGGTCGAGCAATCGACCATTCTCTCGAACGACAAGCGCCGAGGACTCCCCGTTGGAAATCGGTCGCTGGCGTCGAGGAAACCGATGTAGCTAAAGTGCCCTTTGGACGTCAAGAGCTCGTGCCGGGCGATGCGCGTCGAGCACCATGACTCGACTTGTGGTGGCCATTACATAGAGGCAGCATGTCCAGTCAAATCCATCAACAATCTTGTCAACTAAGGGAAGGATGCACTGTGCCAACTACTACTGTCGCAGTCAGGAAGTCAGGTAGTCGGTAGGAGAGGTTGGCCTGATTTCCTCAGATTGTCATCATGAAAATGCACTTACGTCACCCCTAAATCCCGGGATAGAAGATTGCTCTCTCGGGGAATGCAGATGAGATCATTATATGTAAAGGCCTATACCATTAAAGGGTTACGCACTATTCCATTACAGAAGAAAGAACTTGTAATCTCAGAAAGATTAGTACATCCACAAGTGGATTAGGCCAAAAAATCTTGTCGAACCACTATAAATCCTTGTATTCTTTACATTATTTTATTGCTTTAATCTCTAATTAACCCGTGAGTGTTACTGTGAGAATTCTCGGAGAGGTAATTACGAGTTGTCGGAAAAACACCGTCAACAATTGGCGCTAGAAGGAGGGCTCCCAAACCCAGAAATCTAATCCAGTTTTAAAAAAAAAAAGAAACAGCAATCATGCCTCCCAAGAATACTCGTGGCGTGACGGCCAACCAGGGAAGCTGGGTAGGCCAAACTTCCACCGTCGCAGGGATTTCAACGAATCCACCCTTTTCGGACGCTGGAAATCCCCCCGACCGTATTGACTAGCTTCAAAAGCAGGTCGAAACGCTCGCTGCCGCCGTGAAAATGATGGCTACAACCCTTGCCGGGCGGGATCAAGGGCAGAACTCGATGCCACCCTTGGAGGACGCGCCGATGAACCCAGTGAACGCCGCTGTTGGGAACCAAGAGATTGGTGATCAACGCGGTGACGCCGAGGAGGTCGGTGACAGTAGAGCCAACAATCCCTGCTCGACCAAGTCGAACAAATCTATGGGGAGCAGACAACAGGCGACAAGGAGAGAGCACTAGAACAGGCTGCGGCGCAAGCTGCGAATAACAGGGACGTGCCCCATCGACCGCAACAGGACGCGAACAGGAGGAACGCTATCCCAGTGGAATCCTCATCTGTGCACGGAGGAGACCTCAGGACAAAACTGAACGCTCGACGTAACAAAGGCGTTCAGCAGACTAGAGAGGAAGAGCTCGCGACCGAAAACAAAGCTCTGGCCGAAAAGATGGTCAAACTAGAAAAGCAAATAGGGAGTCGATTGAACAATTTTGAGCATGGCGTGGGAAAGGTGGCCGAAGGTGTAAACGTCGACGCCAAGATGTACACATCCCACGACCACCCATTTACAAAAAGCATTATCCGGGTACCATTGCCCGACAAGTACAAACCGCCCCCCATTCCGCTGTATGACGGAAGGAGTGATCTGGATGATCACTTAGAAGTCTACACTGGGCATATGGTCCTGCATGGGTACCCCGAGGAGGTTATGTGTCGGGCCTTCAGGAATCACCTTTCTGACACCGCCAGGAGATGGTTCAGGTCCTTAAAGCCAAATTCTATTACCAACTGGGACGATTTAAAGAACGCCTTCCTGACTCAGTTCATAGATGTCAAAAAATACATCTCACTTAAACAAAACCTGTCAAGGGTGTACCAGGAGCCTAATGAGTCCCTGAAAGACTGGATAGCCTGATTTGGGGAACAGGTGGCCACTACTAAGGGAATCTCCGACGAGGTAGCCCTGATGGGGGCACTGTCGAGCATGAAGAAAGACATCCCCTACAGTACAAACCTCGATCGGAGGCCACCCCACACCTACCAAGAATTCCTGACAATGACACAGGGATTCATCAACGCCGAGGAGGCTAAAAAGGCCTTGAAGAACAAAGCGGCGGCCCCTGCCAAGGAAGAGGTAGGGCAGATGAGCAATAAAAACAACGGTAAGAAACGCTGAGGTAATCATCAGGTGCAAGCCGAGCAGAGGTACAACCCGGCTCTAAACAATAAGGGTGGCAACGCCTCGACGAGCCAAGGGGATAACAAGTGACTAAAGCCGCAAAAGTACGACACCTACACCTAGGGCTGTAAGAAATCACCCCAAACCCGACAAACCCGGCCGAGCCGAGCCGACCCTACTCGAAAATCACGGGTTTCTAATTTTTTATTTAGTTTTCGATTTTAATTATGCTTAACCCGCACTGCGCGGGTAGGGGCGCGGGGTGGGGTTACATGAACCCGAGGTAACCCTACCTGGCTAAACATGTTCAATACTTCAAATTCTTACTTTCATAAGTTTATGAACTTTATGCATTTAAACTGTTAACTTATTTATGTGTTGGATTCCCGATTTGTGTAAAAAATGCTTGTATGCCATAGTTGTTGAATTAGAACATTCTTTATTTATATTGGAAGTGTTTGATTTCAAAGTAAGTGTTTTAATTGTTCACCTTGCATTTAAACCCCCTCTTGAAGGAAAGACATGTTCTGTTTGATAATGATTTCTTCTGTAACAAGCACACATTAATTGATTAAAAAGTGATCATGTGGTCATTGAGATCACCAACCAGAGTAACCCGACCCTACCCGAGGACACTCGAAAGGTTGCGGGTTTGTAGACTTAAGAGAGTGTCGCGACCCAAAATTTTTTCAACCCGCACTGATCGGGTAGGCTCAATTTTTAGGCTCAACCCTACCCTACCCGGCCGATTTACACCCCTACCTACACCCCTTTAACTATGGAGATCGAGGATGTCTATTACGATATCAGTCACCTCCAAGTCCTGCGTCGACCGCCGCCGCTGAAATCTGATCCGGCGCGGAGAAACCAAAACAAATATTGTAGGTTTCACGGCAAGAGTGAGCACACCACATCCGAATGCTATGACCTGAGAGACGAAGTCGAGAGATTGATCCGAGAAAGGAGGCTCAGTGAGTACCGAGCTGACCGTCAGAACAACAACAATCGACACAACAACGACCGACGGGAGGATCAGAGGCATGACAATCCGCCCGAACCCGTCGGTGTTATAAGAATAATTTTCGGAGGGTCATACCTCGGCGGCACCTCTCGCAGTGCACAGAAGGATTACGCGCAAGAGGCAAAGGACAAGTTCAACCGGAGTGAACATCTCCGGAAGAGAGGCTAAGGCAGCACGATACGAGGAGGCCGAGATCACGTTCTTGGAAGCCGATGCGACTAGGGTGCATTTCCCCCAAAGCGACGCTCTAGTTGTGGAGGTCATGATCGGTAACCACACGGTTTGCCGCATCCTGGTCGACAACAGTAGTTCGGTGGACATCTTGTACTCCGACTGTCTCGACAAGATGGAAATTCTCCGCGCGAAGCTGCAAAACAGCGCACGGCCTTTATATGGCTTCACCGGGGACAATGTCATCCCAGAGAGGGCGATAGAGCTGCATATGACTATTGGAGACCGACCACACACCTCGACTGTAATGTCAAAGTTCTTAGTGGTGAAGGGAGGTGACCAATACAACGCGGTTATAGGGCGCCCAACGTTGAGGGCATTAAAGGTGGCTATGTCCATCTATCACCAGATGATGAAGTTTCCGACTCCCACCGAGATCGAAAAAGTCTGAGGAAACCAATACGAATCGAGACTCACGTACTCGGAGACGGTCCGCCACTATGCCGAGCCGACGCAAGTAAGGTGAGAAATGAGAATGGTGGCGACCGGGGCAGGAGAATTCGATCTAGATCCGAGGCTCCCAGGCGAAGAGACAGGAACATGACCGGACGAGGAATTGATCGACGTCCCCATTGATGAGAAAGAGCCTACAAGAAGGCTGAGGGTGGGCTCGGAGCTTGAGGAGCAGAGTCGGGAAGGATTGGTCGAGTTCCTCAGGAGCAACCTCGACGTGTTTGTCTGAACTCACGAAGACATGGAAGGGATAAGCCCTGATATCATGTGCCACAGGCTAAACATCGACTAGAAGTGTCCACCCAAGAGGCAAAAGCGTCGACCCATGAACGCCGAGCGGTACGAGGCCTTACGGGAAGAGGTCAACAAACTGATTAAGAATGGCTTCATTCGAGAAGTTTTATATCCCGAATGGGTATCGAACCCCGTGTTGGTACGGAAGCCCAACGGGAGCTGGCAAACATGTGTCGACTTCAGAGACTTGAACAAAACCTGTTCCAAGGACAGCTTCCCACTGCCAATGATAAATCAGCTGGTTGACGCAACCGCAGGGCACGAACTCCTGAGCTTCATGGACGCATACTCCGGGTACAACCAGATACTAATGTTCGACCGCGACGAATAACATACGACGTTCGTCACCGACAGGGGCCTTTACTACTACAAAGTCATGCCCTTCGGTCTCAAAAACGCGGGAGCAACCTATCAACGCCTCGTTAATAAGATGTTTGCGGAACAATTAGGAAAATCAATGGAGGTATATGTAGACCATATGCTGGTGAAGAACAGGAAAACCGAGGACCATGTGGGGGACCTCAAGGGAATGTTCGACGTCCTCAGGATGTACAAAATGAAGTTAAATCCCTACAAGTGTGCGTTCGGCATCGGGTCAGGAAAATTCTTGAGTTTTATGGTGAGTAGTCGAGAAATTGAGGCCAACCCAGAAAAGATACAGGCACTCCTCGATATGAAGTCACCAAGGAAGCCTAAGGAGGTTCAGAAGCTGACGGACTGTGTGGCTGCACTTAATAGATTTATCTCAAAGTCCACGGATAAGTGCATACCATTTTTCGATACCCTGAAAGAAAGCAAGCCGTTTCAATGGACGGAGGAATGTGAACAAGCATTCCAACAATTGAAGGAACACTTTGGGAAACCGGCTCTGCTATCCAAGCCAGCGGCCGGAGAAGTGTTAGAGCCTGTATCTGGCGATCTCGGAACACGCCGTTAGTTCAGTGTTGATCCGTGAAGAGAAGGTGCAACTGCCGATGTATTACACCAGCAAGCGCCTCCTCAACGCAGAGACGAGATATCCTAAGATGGAAAAGCTCGCCCTCGCACTGGTTGTGACATCGAGGAAGTTGCGCTACTACTTCCAGTGCCATAGTATTCAGGTCTTGACAAATCATCCTCTCAGGCAAGTACTACAAAAGCCCGACACTTCTGGTCGACTGCTTAAATGGTCCATAAAGCTCAGCCAATTCGATATCGACTGCAAGCCACAGACCGCCATCAAGGGCCAATCCCTGACTGACTTTGTGGCAGAGTTCGCGGGGTTGCCAGATGCAGCAAAGGAGGCTAATGCGCCGCAACAGTGGAAGCTCTACGTCGACGGTAGCTCCAATGACAACGGCAGTGGAGCAAGACTGGTATTGCATACACCTGAGGGACACAAGATAACCTCGGCCATCAGGTTTGAATTCCCTGCGTCTAATAATGAATCTGAATACGAGGCGCTGCTGGCTGAATTCTAGTTAACAGAGCACTTAAAGGTGGGAAACATAGACATTTTCAGTGATTCGCAGCTGGTTGTGAATCAAGTAAAGGGCCAATATCAGTCCCAGAATGAGAAAATGGCCGCGTACCTCAAGAAGGTCAAAGAAACCTTAGAAAAATTCACAGCCTATGACATACAGCAGGTGCCAAGAGCGGAGAATAGCAACGCCGACGCTCTCACCAAGTTGGCGACGTTGAGAGATGCCGAGCTCCTGAATCTGGTTCCCGTGGAGGTCTTGAAAGCCCTAACCACAGAAAGGAGGCCTGAAGTCGTGCCGACGCTCTTGCCAGGTTAGCCACGTCAAAAGATGCTGAACTGTTAAAGATAGTGCCCGTGAAAGTTCTAAAGGTCCCTACCACCGAGGGAAGGCCAAAAGTCATGTCAATGAATCACCAGTCGAGCTGGATGGACCCTATGATCAAATATTTGGTCGACGGTGAGCTCCCAATTTGTACTTGTCAGGCAATGGTACCCGGATAATGCTTTCTGTAAATGGGTGGCCATGGGATGTGTACATCTTGGCGTCGACGTTTACAGCTTCGGCCACCTTTCCCATGACCTGCTCAAAGTTGTTCAATCGACTCCCTATTTGCTTTTCTAGCCTGACCATCTTTTCGGCCGCGAGCTCTTCCTCTCTAGTCTGCTGAACGCCTTTGTTACGTCGAGTGTTTAGCTTTGTCCTGAGGTCTCCCCCGTGCACAGAAGAGGATTCCACTAGGACAGCGTTCCTCCTGTTCACGTCCTGCTGCAGTCAAGGGGGCACGTCCCTGTTATTCACAGCTTGCACCGCAACCTGTTCCAGTGCTTTCCTCATTGCCGCCCGTTGTTTGCTCCCCACAGATCTATTCGACTTGGTCGGGCGGGGATTGTTGGCTCTACTGTCACCGACCTCCTTGGCGTCACCGCGTTGATCACCAATCTCTTGGTTCCCAACAGCAGCGTTCACCGGGTTCATCGGCACGTCCTCCAAGGGTGGCATCGAGTTCTGCCCTTGATCCCGCCCGGCAAGGGCTGTAGCCATCATTTCCACGGCGGCAGTGAGCGTTTTGACCTGCTTTTGAAGCTGATCAATACGGTCGGGGGGATTTCCAGCGGGGATTTCCAGCGGCCGGTAAGGGTGGATTCGTTGAAGTCCCTGCGACGGTAGGAGTTTGGCCTGCCTGGCTTCCCTGGTTGGCCGTCACGCCGCAAGTATTCTTAGGAGGCATGGTTGCTGGTTTTTTTTTTTTTTTTTTTTTTATAAAAAAACTAGATTAGATTTTTGGGTTTGAGGGCCCTCCTTCTAGCGCCAATTGTTGACGGTGTTTTTCCGACAACTCGTAATTACCTCTCCGGGAATTCTCACAGTAACACTCACGGGTTAATTAGAGATTAAAGCAATGAAATAATGTAAAGAAGACAAGGATTTATAGTGGTTCGACAAGATTTCTTAGCCTAGTCCACTTGTGGATGTACTAATCTTTCTGAAATTACAAGTTCTTTCTTCTGTAATGGAATAGTGCGTAACCCTTTAATGGGTTTTTTGGCTCTATTTATAGACCTTTACATATAATGATCTCATCTGCATTCCCCGAGAGAGCAATCTTCTATCCTGGGATTTACGGGTGACGTAAGTGCATTTTCATGATGACAATCTCAGGAAATCAGGCCAACCTCTCCTACCGACTACCTGACTTCCTGACTGCGACAGTAGCAGTTGGCACAGTGCATCCTTCCCTTAGTTGACAAGATTGTTGATGGATTTGACTGGACATGCTGCCTCGACGTAATGGCCACCACAAGTCGAGTCATGGTGCTCGACGCACATCGCCCGGCACGAGCTCTCGACGTCCAAAGGGCACTTTAGCTACATCGGTTTCCTCGACGCCAGCGACCGATTCCCAACAGGGAGTCCTCAGCGCTTGTCGTTCGAGAGAATGGTCGATTGCTCGACCATGGTGTAACAGAAATGAAAACTAGCGGTTGCGAAAAGTGAAAACATTTGAACGTATCAACAATCTAGTAAAGTAAATTCTCCTTAGCCATAAACAGTGACAAGAAAGACTTTTGATGAATTAACAGCCAGTGGATACCAAAAGCTGTTATGAAATCAGCAACAGCAATAATAATAAAAAGAGAAATACTCAATTAATGAAAACATTATAATTCTTCGGACAGACTGTATTTGATGTATAAAGAATTGTGAGACAGAACATTCACATCTGGGTTATAATCAATAACTCATAACCTTTCAGGAAGCAACGCAGAGACATCATGCTAGAGTCACGTTATATAATAATAAAATAAACAAAGCAAACAAAAACTATACAAACTGACCTTTGTATCAGATTGTTGGAAGTTTGTTTCGTCAGCCACATTAATAAGGTCTTGTATCAGGAGATGAAAACCCTGTGATATACAAGATGATACTTTAGAAGGTGAAATTTCTGTACTTAAGCTACCCCAATCAAGCAGAATAAACAAATGCTCCAAACTAAAAACAAGTATGATTCGAGAATCTAATCCGTCATATACTTGTCTATAAAGCAGCTTCTTAAAACTTATTCATCTATCGCTTCTAGCATAATATATACATATAAATATACATACATACATACATACATACATATATATATATATAACATTGTAGCTATATGTATGTATCTTCTCAACCAGCTTTTCCCTTCAAAGGGAAGTTGAAAAAGAAAAAAAAAATTTCAGGTTAAGAAAAATAGACAAGCTCTTTAGCAGCATGGCTCAAGTAACGCAAAGCAATAATGACAAATATTTTAGACAACTATATCTATATTGAGCAGTACAACTAAAACTTTCTCCAGCTCAGATGGAGAAACTACCTTGAGAATCTCACAATTTAATGTACAAAACGATACAAGCATCATAACATAAGTAACACCAAACTGATCGAAAACTTCGTTTAATACTGACAAGTGACAACGAAACAAAAAGCCTAGTGACAACAAAAATAACTAACTTACACACACACACACACACACACACATATATATATATATATATATCCCTCAACAATCTAACTTACATACGAGTCAATTTGTCCCCCCTTATCTTTATCAGCTTCTCTCTGGCAACCGGAATGCTCCATGGAAACAACAAATGGCGACCAAGCCTAATAAGCAAACAGAGACAGTGTAAAATTATCGTACCATGCATATCAGTTGCAACAACAATATATTCACTATTGCATGTACAAACAATACTAAAAAAAGGGCAAATGTATTTAGTACCTCTTTAGCCACAACCAGTTCGGGTATAGCATTTTCTGACTGTGGCTTATTTACATTAGATAAATGTACACGAGGGAAAGCCTATTTTGAAAAAAAAAAAAAAAAAAAAACACAAAAGGGGCGTCCAAGAAGAACATTCATTAGAACTTTGCACAAAACTATCAAAGCAATTGGAAAATGAATTCATGAAAGGGAAAGGCAGAAAGTAAAAAATGGAAACTGAGAACCTTTTCTAACTCATCCAAAAGCTGATAGCTAGCCATAATTAATTCCAGAGACTTCCCAATCCTTAGGATCTTGAATACCTCCTGGCACAATTTGCTTCACAACCACATTCACCAAAAACCAAATTAAAAAAAGAAAAAAAAAAGATTAGTAATGACCTAAAGTATAAAACTTTGAATCCCATAGTTTCGAGAGAGGGAGAGAGAGATACTATGATGGTGGAACTCTATCATCTGAAAGAATTGAAACAGAACGAACGGCTTCAAGAAAAGCAATTCCTATATATCAAACAACAAGAAAGGCAAACGAAAAGTTGGTAATAGTAGTCGGCCAATTTTCCTCTTTTCCTTTCAAAAACATCAATAAGTGAAAAAAATACTCGCACTTTCTAGGAAACCAAACAACAATTGAGAAGGAAAAAAAAGAAGAGGCGTACGGTCTTCATGAGCGTCCTGGGTGTCTTTAGTACCGGATGCGGCGATGATGGCCAAAATGTTCTCTTCTTCCACCCCTCGACCCTTTCCTTTTCCATTTCCAGAAATCTCCATTCTTCGTTCTCAAAGCCACCAACTTTTTGAAACCCTAATTTTTTAATTTGAGTTGCTTGATGAGGAGGAGGAGAAGGAGAAGAATTTCGCCCTCCTTTTTCCCGCCAAACTCATTGAGAGAGAGAGAGAGAGAGAGAGAGAGAGAGCAGAAGTGAACGACGAGAAATGGGGGAGAGGGGGGGCAAGAGGAGCAAGAAACGACAGCATCGTTGAAAACGACCGGTCGCATAAGGACAGAAATTAGAATTATGAGACGTTTGGTTCATGGATTATAATCATGAGATTAGAACCATTTTTGATTTACGTGTATTTTTTGTGAGAGAAAACACTGTAACGAACCATGAACTATGATTCAAATCATGGTATGAATCCTCCAACCAAACGTCCCCTTAGTAGCCGGAATTGATTCAGTTTTTGTTTTTTTACGTTTTTTGAGAAAGAAAAAATGAAAACGTTTTTAAAACAACGTTTAGCGTAATAAAGACAAAAAACAGAAATAAAAATAATTTTTTAATTTAGTGTAAAATGAGAGAAATGAAAGTCGTTTTTCATTTTTTATTTTTATTTTATCCTCTCTCGAGTAGAGAGAAAGAGAGAGAGATATTAATGAGTTTTTTTTACTAAAAATAATCTCTTGATAAAACTTTCAAACACATTTTAAAAAATGATTTATATCTGAAATTAAAAATGATTTTATTTTCATTTTCATACAAAAAATAAACTCATTTTAGAACGAGTTCCAAACCACCCAGTGATTTTTGAAATTCAAATGCGAGTGAAAAACAGAGAATGAACTATAATTTAAAATTAGAGAACATCCTAAAAATATGTTTTTTTTTTACAAACGGCAAAGTTCTGTGAAGGTTGTTTAGGCCCGTTTAATTCGCTGATGTAAGTTTTTAATTCGAATTGAGATGTAATTTTACATGATAGTTTTTTATTGTAATAAAAAAAATTAAATGTGATTATTTTTTAAAATTTTTATTATAACAAAATTTAAATTTTAAACTCAAATCGGTGAAAATAAAAATCCATGTATGGAAGGCTACTTTGAGGCTATCCCCACGAGAGTGCGGCTGTTCCAACGTGGATTGAACTTGCCAATCACTTGCCCGGTTTGTCAGGAGGCGGCGGAGGATGTTCATCGCTCTTTGTGGGGCTGTTATCATGCTCAGGATGTTCGGCGGAGTACTCTTTGGGCCTGCTTCTTCGTAAGTTCCCAGGGGGCCCAATTAGTTCTTTTATGTTATTTTACGACTTAGCCCAATTAGTTCTTCTAGGGCCTGCTTCTTCTAGGGCAGGCCACATATTAGGAGATTACCCTGCGGCCATCTCGTTAAACGGTGCACCAGGAAGAGTATGTTCACAAATGGGAAGCTACATGGCAGTTAATGTTGATGTTAATGCGGCTGTCGAAGACCATTTGCCTTTTTTTTATTTTTTGGGGGGGGGTTGGTGTGGTTGTTAAGAGATCAGGATGGATGTGTTCTTAGTGCGGCGGCAACCCAAATTGAAGGCAAATACTCTCCACATGATTCTGTTTGCTATACTCCCCCCGTTAAGGGAATTCTGTAGCCCACTGTCCAGCAAATTTTGTTTGTACACAGTCATGTGATTTCTTTTGATTTGATTTCCTGCCAAACTTTATTGGTTCTTTTGTACTTACAGATATTACAATTGAGTAATAAAGTCTACCTTCTTTTAAAAAAAAAAAAAAAAAATCAAAGTATGATTCTGCTAAAAAATTTGAATTAAAAAAAAAATCCACGACAATGATTTCGATAAACTACGACTTTCGTCGTAAACAAAACAACAATAACATCACGGGAAATAGTAGAAAATAAGGCCTCGTTCGTTTCGCTGATTCGAGTTTAGAATTCGAATTTTGTTACAGTAAAAAGCTCTCACAAACAATCACATCTAACTTTTTTGCTACAGTAAAAAGCTCTCACATACAATCACATCTCAACTCAAATTCTAAACTCGAATCATCGAAACGAACGAGGCTAAGTTAATATGAAAAGTTTAAGAAAACATATAGGCTAATTTTTAATTATAGAAATTAATAGGTCATAACTTATCAAGTTATGGTTCATAACCAGATAAGTTATAGACAAACTTATCAAGTTATGGTTCATAGCCAGACAAGTTATGGACAAAAACTGTGAATAACTTGTCAAGTTATGGTTCATAACCAAACAAGTTATAGACGAAAACAGTAATTTAACCTATTTATTAACTTATGTAAATTATTAGCCTATTAATTTTAATTCATCTGACTTATTTTCCTATTTCTCCCTAACATCACTAATGACAACATTTCCCACAAGTAACAATGGCTTTGTAAACGACAAGACAAACATCTGATACGAAGGACAATAAGAGAACTATAAGAGTCATACAGATTACAGAAGACATCTGTTATTTTAAGAACTATAGGAAACGACGTCTTTTATAAATGACAATATCTAAGTATGATAAATTAGTTAGAAAACGACAACATTGTGAGAAATCCAAAAAAATATTGACATATTTTTGAAACGATAAAAGTATATTGGAAGCGACAATGAATTTACAAGCGACGACGTCTTGGCAACGACGATAACCGAAGTGTCATTTTCATGATAATATAGGCCATTTTTGACCGGGAAAAATTCAAAAAAAAAAAAAAAACATTGTTTATACATCCAATAGTTCTGTATATTTGCACCCAGATTTAAGCTACTATAAAAGGTCATATAAGTTATAAAATATCTCATAGGATTGTGGATTCGAGGGTGAGTCCATCTTCATTAACTGATAAGAAATTAAATCCCCCATGACATTCTATCTTAAATATACTTAGAAATATACTAAGAATTATGTTTGTTAAGGATAAAATACCTGAGTCTCATATTATCTAAATGTAAACATAATTATGGTCATATAAGGATATTGGGTAATCTTATTTAAACAAGTTAACATTTTTAGATTGAAGCTCAATATCTTATAAAATGTAATTCTTCTCCCCCACTTTTCTTGTTATATGTTCTCAAACTCTAATATAATATTAGAGTCCATTGCTCAAACGATTTGGGTCGATCCATCAATATACAACATTTGTGAGAGCATCATCTTGGGAGGACGTGTTAAAGGCATCTTGTGGGGGCGTGTTAAGAGTAAAATGCTCAAGTCCTGCATCTCTACTTACAAACATATTCACAACCATATAAGGATATTATGTCAATCCATTTAAACAGATTAACCATTTAAGATAGAAGCTCAATATTTTATAATGTACAATTTTTCTCCCTCACTTTTGTTGTCATTTGTCCTTAAACTCAGTGGCGAGCCAAACATTTTGTTTAGTGAGAGCGTGAATTAAACTAAAACTTCCAATTAAAACAACATGATAATTATTTTAATTAAGTTTAATTTAATTTTTGAAGTTTACGATTCAAAAAATTATGAATTCATATAAATTATGGCTGATTTTTTATTTAGTTAGTATATCTAATTCGAAATATATAAATATTAACATTTTAAAGTTAAATTTTAGTATAATTGAAAATTTTCTAAAAACTTAAGTGTAAATGTTGTAAATTAATAATTTCAGTGGGGAGAAAGTAGGAAGAAAATTATAAAATAAAAAATTCTTTTTGGGATTTTAATATAAAGGAGTTAATAGGGCTAGTGGGAATACTCTGCCCTTTAAACTCTAAGGACTCGTTTAGTTCATATATTAAATCAATAATTATTAATTTTATTATTTAAATTTTAAATTTTTTATAAAAAAAATATTGTAATAAAATTAAAATTATAAATTTAAAAGCACGAAACGAACGGGTTCTAATAATTTTTTCCTTAATAAGAGATAAAAACTAGAGGAGATCACAAATAATTACTTGAAAAAACAAAAACAAAAAAAAAAGAAAAAAGGCCTAGAGGTGATCTTGTATTAAAGACATATAGTACTATTTTTCTGACAGCAATTTGATAAAATTTAAGCGTTACATAATATTGGTGCATGGTGTTACTCTACTAAGTCCGGTCTCCCAAAGTTAAAGTGTATAGAGGTCACTTCAATCAATTCAATCATTTAGTTTTCGTTCGATTCAGTTCAAATCAAAATAAATTGGGAAGTCAATTAAAATAAATTATTTGAAGAAAAGGAGTTGACAAATTAATTGCACCGCATATTATACGATATGAGGCACCGGATTTTTGTTTATTGAATAGAATTTTGGGACGTTTTAAGGAGGAAATTCGTACCATAATTTAAATTATGATTCATAATTTATTATAATATTTTTTTTTATAAAAAATACACGTAAATTAAAATTGGTAAAGAGATTCATACCTTAATTCGAATCATGATTCATGATTCATTACAGTATTTTTTCTCATAAAAAATATACGTAAATTGAAAATAATTTTAATCTCATGATTCTAATTCATGAACCAAACGTTTTCTCCGTCTTTTTTGTCTCTCAACTTTTAAAAAATACCGTCTATGTCTGTCCACTTTATTTTTACCGTTTTACCCTCAATTTCTTACTCCTTTATTTGTTTTTTTATTTGGGTGTTTTGGTCATTTCTGTGGAAATGAAGCCTCCTTGGGAGGTGCATTTTGTTTTTTTTTTTTTTTTTTTCCTGGCGCTGCTTTTTCCTGAGAGAGAGAGAGAGAGAGAGAGAGCTCTGTGTGGTAAAGAGAGAGAGAGGGAATGGGGAGTGGTGGGCCCGCCTGGAAAGAGAGAGAGAGAGAGCTGCCTGGGAAAGAGAGAAAGAAAGAGAGGGAGTGGTGAGAGCTGTTTGAGAAAAGAGAGAGAAAAGGAGAGAGGGAAAATGGACTATCTAATCTGACTATATTTTTCACGTGACAGTAAAAAAACTGGTTTTATTAACTAATTATTATTTTTTTTTATATTTACTTATTAATTTTAGGCTTATTTGTAGTTTAATTTTGTTCATTTTAATATAGTTTCGTACTAAATTTTTGATACTATTTAAATAAAAATATTATAAATGATTTAATAAAAAATAAAATAAAAGCACATTAAATTAAGTAAAAATGAATCAAACAAAATCAAATGGAATTGATTTAAACAAGATAAAATAATTTAAAATCTTTTTTTTTTGTCTTTTGTTTCAGATTTTTTTCTGTGTCTTTATTTCTTTTACGTCCTTATTTTTTTCATCTTCTTTTTCTTCTTTTTAAAAAAAATAATAATTTGACAACCATTGTTTTAAATGAATTGTACACGCGATAACAACTGGTAAATAGTTATGGTACGTACTAATCAACTAGACTGTGAGTGTGACCAGCGACCAAACATTGTTTGCTTTGTGTAATGGAGAACAACTAATTTCCTTCTATTAACTATTAGGACCAAAATAAATTAGAAATAAGCATAAACTTTGCAAAAATACGCTGCACTAGCTTGGTTCATTGGATTTTGAATGGTTTGTGGTTTACATACATATTACAAGAAGAAAAATTAAAGGAAAAAAAAAAAGGAAGAAGAAGATTTCGTTCATTGGATTTTGGATGGTATTTACATGTACATGTAGTCAAGGAAGCAATTTAAAAATATATAAAGAAAGACAGAGACCTCATTCCCTGGTTAGGATGAACCAAAATGATAATGTATAATTATTTGATTTATCATTAGAATAGTGCATTATTGAAATGATAATATATATTATAATTTAATTTATAATTGTGATGTGATAGATCATACATTGGATCCAAAATGCAAAAATGAAACTTCAAATTGACTTGAGCTGGATGCGAAATCCAAAGTGGGATATTGTATCATTTTCACATATTTGCTTAAAATCCAAAAATGTATTTGCTTAAAATCCATAAGTTAGTAAAACTATATTATATATTTTTCACATTTCTTTTAGAACAATAAAACCGAGCGTATTCGAATATTTACCTTGTTGCATGTCATGCAATATGAATAGTTTGGTGATTTTTGATTCTCTCCTTCTCTCTGATATTTCTCCTCCCTTTTTGCTTCATGTCAACTTTGTGGCTGATAGAATAGCATATGATAATATTGAGATGTTGGCGTAGAAGCCGAAACCATGAAGAAGAAAGCAAAATATATTTATGGGGAGTCAAGATTACAGAAGCTACATAATAAAACTATCCCCCCCTCCTTTGAAAGTCTTAAAATAAACTCAAAATTACGACCAGCAAACAAGTTAAGACGTATAACTAAAATAATCCATCAAATGTAATATGCGTACCCATCCCTTTTGCAAAATTATTGCTGCGAGTTGGTTTTGATCAACATAACTCTATTCACTTTTTTTTTTTCTGGAATATAGAGATTAGTGATGTCCTCATTGTAAATGATAAAACAAATATGGGTCTCACATCGTTTAAATATAATAATAAATACTAACGTAATAAATATATTGAGTTACTCCACTTAACAAGTTGACTTATTAAGGTGGAAGCCCAATTTTTAATTAGCAAGTCCAATTTTCACACTCATGTCCCCACTCAATGACTTAAGATAGTTTTAGGTCACGTTCATTTCATCGATTCGAGTTTAGAGTTCAAGTTTTGCTACAGTAAAAAGCTCTCATAAACAGTCACACATTTAACTTTTTTGCTATAATAAAAAATTCTCATATAAAATTATATCTCAACTCAAATTAAAAATTCAAATTAACGAATTGAACAGACCTTACTTGGTTCATGAAAAGAAATTTGGCCACACTTTTTTCAAAGGTCAAACACACGACCTCATTATTTCGGAGAATAAAGTGTGGGCGTAAAATTTCAGACCTCTAACGGATGAGAGAGAAAAGAAAAATAAATTAATTAATCCATGCATGCACGTCAAACACACAACCTCATTGTTTCAGAGAATAAAATGTGAATGTAAAATCTTGGAGAGAGAGAGATAAAATGACCGTCGACCCTTGTGGCTATGCTGGTGGTTGTTTAATTCTAATGATTTGAGCGTGCATATCCCAAATTTTTACCTTGCAGAGGGATGCCACAATTAATACCATATTGGGGCATTAATTTTTTTTTTATCCAAGCTAACGACTAGTCACTAGTACATTTTTCACCTGAATTCAAAAGTACAAAGCCTTGATAAAATCCAATTCTCATTAAATACTCTCTCTTGTGGGACAAGCAATCGGTCCACTATATTTACTCCCTTAACAAGTATCTTAAACTATGAAGCTCATTAACAAATTAAAAAGCAAAGGACAGTTGGGCTGGTATGAACCTTTAATTCACCAATAAGAAAGTAAATGCTTTTAGGACCATCAGACCAACCCACAAGCTTGGAAATCATAATATCCTCTCAAATATATATATATATATATATAACAAGATTTGCTTTGTGACACTGAATATTATTGATGAGCTGTAGATTTGTTATTCTGTGGTGATATCATCTAAAATAGAACCCAAAAGATAAGTAAATGAATATAAATGTAATGGGGTCATGAGAGGCTGGGGCAAACAAACAAGTTGGCTAGCTGCAGCTTAGACTGTTGGTCCATTTAAGTTGATGTGATACACATATTAAAGACCAAGGTTTGCTTCTGTTGCCTTTTTGAAAATATTATTAACCAATATTGCAATAAATCTGTCTACCTGCAGATTTGAGAAATACGGCTATTTTGTATTTAGTCTTCTTCTTTTTTTTTTCTTTTTTTTTTTTCCTTTTTCCGGAGGGTTTCTTTTTATTTTTTCCTTTTTGAAAGAATAATATGAGAGTACGCCATACTCCACGTGAATAAAATAAATAGACATAAAGGGGAAAGCTTATGTGCAATTCTTCCATTATAAACTGTATGTAACGTGTGCTACAGAAACACGAAAAGCGGGAAAAAAGAAGAAGTTTGTCATCATGTGAAAGCAACAAATATATAGGTATATACATACGTATATATATATACCAATATATATGTATATGTATAAAAATATTCACATGCGACATTTAATTACTAACCAATAACCAGTATATTATAGGGGTTCAGAGAGGTCAGGACCATCATGATATATATAAGAGTTGCATGCATGTGCAATCCTATTGCACTTTCAGGGATCGAAAAATCAACAAAATACAGCTGCACATGTAAATTAACGACCTTAATTTTCTAATTTTCTCAACCTTTTTTTTTCTTTCCCGGAAGATTAATGTCAATATAATTAAAGCACGTCCTCCAACCTTCACTAAAGTCTAAATTTCTGTCGTTTGATCAGCTATCATCTTCAACAACTTCCCAACGACCAGGGCTTCTTAACAAATCTGAGCGACCAACTTAATAAAATTACTAGTATTCTTATTTATACCCATCCTAATAAACAAAAGAAATACACATGATCAAAAGGTCGTACAATCAAAAGAAGTAAGAATCACTCTTTTAGCTTTAATTCTGATAATTTCTTTGATGTTTAAATTTGTTTTTGATGGCTTTTAAAAATAAAATAAATAAAAAAAAAACTCTTTTAGGTTAATGAATGTGTGTGTGTGTGTGTGTATATATATATATATATATATATATGTTGTATGTTACTTCAAAATCTAAATATTTTTGGTCCCGAGAAAGTGTTTTCAAAAGAATTTAATTTCTAAAAATTGAGTGGGGGCAATGAGCCCCACTTAGGCCCCGTTCACTTCGCTTATTCGAGTTTAGAATTCGAGTTGAGATGTGACTTTATGTGAGAGCTTTTTACTGTAATAAAAAAGTTAGATGTGATTATTTGTGAGAGCTTTTTACTGTAAAAAAACTTAAATTCTAAACTCGAATCAACGAAGTGAACAAAAAATTAGTATAAACTGGCCACTGAATTCACCAAAAAAAATATCGCCACTGAATTAAAGGTTAATTTTTTTAGCAACAATAAATAAAAATATTACTGGTTCTGATTACCTTCTTTCATGTCATTGTCACGTCAGACTTTTTCTAATAATAACACTGATGATCAACAATCATTGACAATGGATTAATCTATCTTTGAAGTATTAGTGTCATGATGATCAAACCAAAATTAGGGGTGTTTGAGATATTATTCATTGGTGCTATGAAAATAATTAAACTACGGATATGTTTGATTCATGAATTAAAATTATGTGATTAAAATTATTTTTAATTTATGTATATTTTTTATGAAAAAAATACTATAATAAATTATAAATTATGATTCAAATTATAATTTGAATCTTCCAACTAAATATTCCAGTGAGATAACATGTTTGAACAATATGAAAATCGTTGAAATGTACAAGTTGACGGCACAGGTGAGGGGACCAATTAGCAATGCGAGCAATTTTCCTCCAACTCAACATAGAAATAATCTTTGATGGATTCAAAAACCACGAATTTGTCAGCTTTGTTGCATTATTGACAACTGTGACCTAGCTAGCTAGCTAGAGTATTGAATTCCATGTCAGAAACCCAAACTCTTTTCCGGTTGACAAGTGACAATATGCATTTACACATATATATTCTACGGTCACTACTACGTGTGTATATATATACACACACACACGCCATTAAATACATATATGCTAAAAAATATATCCAACCAACAATCAATTATTCCGCAACACCTATTAAAGCCCATCCGCAATGAGTGATTTTAATTTGATATATATATATATATATGCGCGCAACACTTGAGAACACAAACAATTAAAACCAGTTCTCTGATTCCTCATCCTCCTTTTCCTAAAACTTTGGAGATGCGATATATATAATACCATAAATATGATGAAGGTGTCCGTACTAGTAATGGTGGTCACGACATTGGTTTTGGTGCAGGCAGTGGTGTTGCGAGCTCATGTGAATGTCGGCCAAATTCGGCAATTGGCTGCTCGGAACAATGTGTCTTGCGTTTTGGTTTTTGGAGATTCGAGTGTCGATCCTGGCAATAACAATGTCCTTCAAACCACAATGAAGGGCAATTTCCCTCCTTATGGGAAGGACTTCTTTGGTCGTCGACCTACTGGAAGGTTCAGTGATGGACGACTCGCCACTGACTTCATTGGTATTATATATACATTCATCTCTTTTATATAATTAGTTTTTAATAATTACGTTTTTATTAAGGTGTTAGTACCCATTAAATATAAAAAATAAATGTGGCGTTATAAGAACCAATCTCATATACTGGAACTAATTATGGTTAGTACTAATACTTACATAGTACTTGTGTTATGGCTATTAATATTAGTAGCTCTGCATGAATGACTGCTTTCGGATCTTCTCTAACTAGGCGTTTTTAATTAAAATGGCACCATATCTAAGATATATGTATTAATTACTTCTTTTATATATGCAAATGGTACCATATCTAAGATATATGTATTAATTACTTATTTTATATATGCATTTGAAGAACATTAACGTTCTGTATCTTAGTTAAATCATGTAGCCAGATCGAATATTAGGGTAAACTAGGCCAATATTTATAATCCTTGAGAAAAGTGGTCCTTTGCACAGTTATTCTCCGACTACAACCTGAGAAACCAACAAAGAGCATATGCATTTGTCACGTATATATATTATCAGTTCATTAATCACTTTGCATTATTCTCCGTTGAATTATATACACTTGCGTTTTACTCAAAAGAAAAGGTATACTCTAAAGTTAGTTTGGTCGTTTCTATACATATATATACATATATATATATATATATGTATTATTGGTTGTTATGTTTTCTCTATTGTATTAATATTATTGTTTTTCACAGCGGATACAATTGGGTACCACAAGATAATTCCAGGATTCCTTGATCCGCATCTGAAGGTAGCAAACATGGTGCATGGTGTTAGTTTCGCCTCAGCTGCTTCCGGTTACGACGATTATACCGCCAATATTTCGGTAAACAAACACTGTACTTTTAACGTACATCTTTTTGTATACTAGTATTGTATAAACATATACTATTAATTGAATAACTTATTTTGTTGATGTTTTTTTTTTTTTTGGTTTTGTGTGTGTGTCTTGAAACAGAACGTGTTACCTCTTTCGGCACAGCTGAAATACTTTATGCACTACAAGGTGAAAGTGAGGAGACTTTTGGGTGAGAAAAGAGCAGACGACATCATAAGAAACGCTATATTTGTTTTAAGTATGGGCACAAACGACTTTCTCCAAAACTACTACTTGGACCCATTTCGCCCCAGCCAATACACTCTCAACGAGTATCAGAATTTCCTCGTCTCTCGCATGGCTGACAATATTAAGGCACTCATCAAGTGTTCCTCCTCTAAATTTGATCGTATATCTTGTATATTATTTATGATCACATTTGCTAAAGAGGTTCAAGTCTTTTGAACCAAAAAGTTGGTTTGAGCCAATGCTTAATAAAACCTTTTGAGACTTTGTTCAAACCAATATTGATTTGATATTTTGAACCAACAAAAACTTAAGAATTCTAAGTTTACCCCCAATTTTTCCTCCTTTTTAATCTTTTGAGCTAAAAATTTAAACCACATATTTTAAACTTTTCATTTCAAACCATAAAAGTTCAAACCACCCCGACCTGATTATCAAACGGAGTCTGCAATTTCCCTTATTAATACTTCACATGTGTTCATCCGGAGATCGCCAATTATTAAATAATATGGATTCTCACAGATTTACATGAGTTATTATTGTTATTATTACAGGAAATGCATAGGCTTGGCGCGCGAAGATTAGTGGTGGTAGGAGTTCCACCCCTGGGGTGCATGCCTCTGGTCAAAACGCTTCAGGACCAAACTACATGTGTAGAAAGTTACAACAAATTGTCTCTCTCATTCAATTCCAAGATAAGTTTCAAGCTCAGCTCCATTAAATCTACTTTGCGGATGAAGGTCGGCTTCGTCGATGTGTACGGTATTGTAGTTAATGCCATGAACAACCCACACAAATATGGTTAGTTTGTCCTTTTCTTTCCTTGTGCACTCTTATTTTTCTATAGATATATATATTTATATAGGCAAAATCTTGAATTCGACATGACTTTTTTTGTATTTCTGTGTAATATTATTCACAAGTGTGTGTAACATGTAGCTGTTTAAGTTTAACATTCAATGTTATATGTCTTGAACTGTAACATTTTTTTTTAAATGTTACGTTTAAACAAACTAAACCTTACACGCACAAAGAATGATGTTACATAAAAATACAAAAAAAAGTTACTTTTGTCGGATTGATCTAATTGTCGATAAATTTTCGTGGAACTAATATTCTAATGTTAAAACAAATTACATACAGGTTTGACTGAAACTTCCAAAGGATGTTGTGGGACTGGTACCATAGAGTATGGCGATTCATGCAGGGGCATGGCCACATGCAATGATCCGACAAAATATGTGTTCTGGGATGCTGTTCATCCAACGGAGAAAATGTACAAAATCATAGCCGAAGAGGCCGTGGAATCTGTCAACTCAAACCTCTTGATTTAAGAATATATTGTTGTTGTACTAGTTAGTTGTAATTTGTGACATCTTCATCTTTTATAAAAGCTGAATCCACCTCTTTTTTGTTTTGCTAGTAATCTTTTTGGAAGATCTGTTTTACGCTTATTGTTGGAGGATATGTTGCAACAGATTCTTCTGTAACACTATTAATTAATTAAGTTTTCTGAATAAGAACAATTTGTTAACCTAATAGCCTACGAAAACAGTAAATAAATAATGCACATCCACCGAGCCAGTAGACCTAGACATTGAATTATCCACCAATTATCAAAATTACAATTACTAATGGTCTTATACAATTTAGAGACCCCCTCTCGTAATTGTCGCCTAAGTACTTGTAACAATTAGTTGGTCCTAATTCAACAAGTACCACTCGTTTTTAAAATTGTACGTTAAAATCATTTCAATTAGCAGTCACCTTTTCTTTAAAACTTTTAATTCTTCTCCCGAAAAACGCAATTGAAAACTCTCAAGACTCACGTAGAGAAAAGCAGTGTTGAGGTGTATTTATATATACAGAGAAGTCTAATTATATCGTGTGTCAAAGTCGGATGACATAATCCAAGTCGAAGTTGAATTATCACAATTTAATTCGGTAATAATCCTTATAATTAGCCTGCTTTATTTTGGATAAACACGCTAAGGCTTCCACGTTTTTTCTTGCGTACGTGATCAAATCTCCAAACTTTATTTAATTCAAAATTTATTCGAATTCTGCTCCAAGTCTTAAATTCCTTGTGTACTTTAGTTTTCTATAGATATATATTTATATAGGCAAAATCTTAAATTCGACGTGACTTTTTTTTTGTATTTCTGTGTAATATTATTCACAAGTGTGTCTAACATGTAGCTGTTTACGTTTAATATTCAATGTTATATGTGTTGAACTGTAACATTTTTTTTTAAATGTTACGCTTAAACAAATTAAACCTTACACGCACAAAGAATGATGTTACATAAAAATACAAAAAAAGTTACTTTTGTCGGATTGATCTAACTGTCGATAAATTTTTGTGGAACTAATATTCTAATGTTAAAACAAATTACATACAGGTTTGACTGAAACTTCCAAAGGATGTTGTGGGACTGGTACCATAGAGTATGGCGATTCATGCAGGGGCATGGCTACATGCAATGATCCGACAAAATATGTGTTCTGGGATGCTGTTCATCCAACGGAGAAAATGTACAAAATCATAGCCGATCAGGCCGTGGAATCTGTCAACTCAAACCTCTTGATTTAAGAATATATTGTTGGTTGTAATTTGTGACATCTTCATCTTTTATAAAAGCTGAATCAACCTCTTTTTTGTTTTGCTAGTAATCTTTTTGGAAGATCTGTTTTACGCTTATTGTTGCAGGATATATTGCAACAGATTCTTCTGTAACACTATTAATTAATTAAGTTTTCTGAATAAGAACAATTTGTTAACCTAATAGCCTACGAAAACAGTAAATAAATAATGCACATCCACCGAGCCAGTAGACCTAGACATTGAATTATCCACCAATTATCAAAATTACAGTTACTAATGGTCTTATACAATTTAGAGACTCCCTCTCGTAATTGTCGCCTAAGTACTTGTAACAATTAATTGGTCATAATTCAACAAGTAACACTTGTTTTTAAAATTGTACGTTGAAATCATTTCAATTAGCAGTCACCTTTTTTTTAAAACTTTTAATTCTTCTCCCGAAAAAGGCAATTGAAAACTCTCAAGACTCACGTAGAGAAAAGCAGTGTTGAGGTGTATTTATATATACAGAGAAGTCTAATTATATCGTGTGTAAAAGTCGGATGACATAATCCAAGTCGAAGTTGAATTATCACAATTTAATTCGGTAATAATCCTTATAATTAGCCTGCTTTATTTTGGATAAACACGCTAAGGCTTCCACGTTTTTTCTTGCGTACGTGATCAAATCTCCAAACTTTATTTAATTCAAAATTTATTCGAATTCTGCTCCAAGTCTTAAAACTTTGAATTCGAAACCTGCTGCACTTTTTATCATCAATCTTCAATTTTGAAATCAGCAGCATTTTAATTCTGCAGTACTTTGATTTTTGAATTCAAACACCACTTGGATTAGAATATCACCAGAATTCGGTATTCATAATTTAAACTGCGGCAACTCAGAAAATCTGCATCAAATTAGACTTCACAGATTTTAATACTTCAACTTGAACTCGAATTTCAACTTGAACTCTGCAATCTTATTGAATAAGGATTTGGATGATATTTATATTATTTTCTTCGTATATCCGTCGTTGGTATTACGGGTTTTCCTTTAAATTTATGTTATAACATCTAATAAGGCTTCGAGGCACACTATTAAAAAACATATTACTATCAACATGTTGATCGTATCGGTAATGGTGTTCAAGCGATAAGAAAAGAGTTTTCTTAAAGATCATACGTAAACGCTTCCAGTAACGAGTAACGAGGTCAAAGTGTTGATAAAACACATGCATTTTTTCTAACAGCAAGATACCAAGCCTGAAATTAAAAAAATATCTAATTTAACAATATGCCAATCAAAATACCAAATCAAGCCTAAAATTGCAAAAATATCTAATGAACAAAGTTGTAACCTAAAACCTGAAATATACAAACTAAAAGGACAAAATTTTCATTTGGTCCTCGAATTATATACGAACTTTCGATAATGGGCCAATCCCTAAACTCTTACAAAAAGTGCAAACTAATAATTGAGGGCCCGTTCTTTTTGTAAGTTCAAGTTGAGAATATGAGATGAAAAATAAATTTTTATGAGAAAAAATACCATATAAAAAAAATTAAATTTCAATTTTTATGATAAAAAATACTGTAGTAAAAAGTTTGATGAGTTGTGATTGGGCCTAACTGATAACTGTTTAATTTTTCACGTTTTCACGTCACGTGTGGCTCACATACGTGACCTAATTAATTTATTGATGAGAATATTTTTGTAAGGATTCGTAGGTCAATATTATGTCCAAACAATATAAGCAGTACCCTTTTTCACCCGCTAAATTTATTCTATTGGGTTTTCGATCTCTTATCATGAATGGTGATTTCCAAAGAAAAAAAAAAATTTCAGCTCAACCTTAATGCGCGTTAATGCTTCAGCTTGTTCAGTCCCAAGTTCTCTCTCTCTCTCTCTCTCTTTCTCTCTCTCTCTCCTTTTTTTTTTTTGGGTCATTATGAACATTAATTGCATTTCCTTTTGTTGATTTTCCAAGATTTCATTATGCATTATTTTTAGAATTTAAGGATTTTAGGCACAGAATAAGAGTAGGTGTGACATTGCATAGTTGGGATTTGTTTTTCTTTAATATGATGCCTATCATCTTCATCATTTATTTAAAAAAAAAAAAAAGCTCACGTAAATGATTTGGAGGAAAAAAATATACATGCAGGAAGTGGTGGTTTTTAAATATGTTTTTAATAATAGATCACCTTTTTAAATTTTTGTCTATTACGTAACATAAATTATATTAATTATATGATAGTAATATATCATGTCATCCAGCGTATAATTGTTAAATTTTTTAGATGTTGAGTTAATTAAACTACGTACACGTACATACTAAACTTAATAGTACTTTACACATTAATGCTGGATAATTTGGAAAGTCCCAACGACAAATACTTAACACATCGTTGTCAAAGAAACACAACAGACATAAATAGAAATGATAATTGGAAAATTAATTAATACAGATCCGTTTTAATCCTTCAAGAGAAAATCGAGAATGGGAAGTGTGTTCTTAAAGAGATAGTAGTATGTCTTCTCAGTCGGGTGTATTGAATCCCAAAACATGTATTTAGTTGCATCAGGGCACGTATATGAAAGTGGATTGCACAAAAATGATGTTTCAAGGTATCCAGTTCCACAGCATCCATTAAAAATCTTATCAAAACCTGATTAAGAAAATGAAAAAGATGAAATATTTTTGTCACCACTAGAGCTGCCAGTTCAAAATGTGATCGGCCCAGTTCAAAAGCTCGCATAGAACGGGCGTCTCGTATATTTTGTAGAAAAATAAAAAAAATAAAAGATTGACGGGCCAGATATTGAGCCAAAGTATGTGTTCTAAGCCGGTCCCTTTGACTCAACATAGAGTTGTAAGTTTAAGTTGGGTCAAACGAGCCAGCTCGAAGCCTATCATTGTTGGCCCGATCTTAGCACAACATCAACCCCGGGAAAGGTTGGCCCGAGGTTTCGAGTCTAGAGGCTTCAATGCAACCATTTTTATTTTTATTTTTTATTTTTTTAAAAAATGTATTGTAAAGGGTCGACCAGACCCAACAAATTTTCGGGCCGGTCAAGCCGGACGGCCTAAATTTAGGGCTCTCGCCCAACCTAAATTGACAACTCTAATTAGACTGGATTAAAACATAAGGAATTTGGGGAAATTACCAAATTTTTTGGGTCCTTGGATCATCTCCATCAATGGTTCATATATGTCAACGTAGGAGATCCTAGCACCAAACATTGCCAAGCTATTGTGCATGAATTGCAACTCATTTTGGAGGATTTTGTTGTAATTTCGCGCAACGGAGGAATAGCTATCAAGACAGCCACGTTGCTTAAGGCCATGGGGTGAGTTCAAGGTTATGACAATCGGCAAGCAGCCCATTGGTGGTAGCCCAACAACCGCCATTCTTCGAGCCCCTTCAGCCCATAAAACCTGTAAAGTAATTTCCCCAACAAGAATACATATAATACCCAAATTAAAGGTTAAGAAATTAAGAATGAGAATTCTGTGGTAGTATATGAAGAAATACAGAATATAGTTCTAGATCTTTCTGTTATATTAGAATCATATGAAATGAAGAGATGTGAAATAATTTAATAGAATTTGACGAAAATTTAATCGTTTTGAATGCTCAACTATAAGATATGATTTTTTGGGACCCTACTACAAATTTTCTTAATACAAATAAAGAAAAGAAATAGCAGATAGTGACTGGCCGTAACTATATTTATTAGTTAGAGGTCCACACCATGAATAATGGACCAATGGTGGTTGAACTCAGACTCGGAACACTTGAATTCTGTCTTACGTGTACGAATTATACATGACATTCATGATAGGTTCAGAGTTATTGTGAACTGAAATTTCCCATCATGAAATGAAATTTTCCAAAAGTCGTTTTGATCAAATAAATTCTATTTTTAATAATGTGTAATTCAATTTTCTTCAACTTAAGTTGGACATAATAACTAGAAAACGAGTTTATGTTAAAAAAAAAAAGAGTGCGTCAATAAATATGCAGCAACTTTATTAAGTTGATAATCATGTATTAGAAAAAAACTATAAAAAAATTACTACAACTTGGTCTAGGGGCCAAGCGATTTATATGTATATTACCTCTCAATTATTACAATATACTTACAAACACGTGCAAAATGTACACAAATATTTAGGCCCCGTTCATTTCACCGATTCGAGTTTTG